GATGCTTGTAACCCAAGTGTGCACATAGAGGAACTCTTGTTACCCAGGTAAGCATGCACAGGAACTCACTGCAGAATGTGGGCAAGTGGGCTGGTTTGGGTGGCACCTTTATACTCCGGATCAGGACTGCCATTGGGAAAAGACACTGTGACCATCAAACAACAGGAGAGTAAGCAGGTTGGGGAGGGCCAGCCAGATGCCAGCGGTGCCATTTGCCATGATGAAACCCACTTACGTCAAAGGACACCTTCTGGTTTTCTTTTTCATAAGTAGCAAACTTTAATACTACCCATTAATTTCATTCACAACAGGAAGCAGGGTCAGGGTTCCTACACACCTCTTCTGTAATGCCTGTGGTACAGTTCAGTTCAAGTGCTAGTACCGTTCACGAGCTTGGCAAGAGCCTGGAGATTAAAAGAACACACAGGGGACATAGGTCATTCATGAGGATATGATGCCAAATGCCGTTTATTCAAGCTTAGGAAAAACCTTATATACCTAGCTGCCACACAATGTAATTCCCCCCAGACAGGTGGGAAATTACCACACCCAAGATGGAGTAAACAATGGCCCTATAGCTAATCACCAGGGGGGCAGAGGGAGCACAGGAACAAACAGGATGTTTAGCCAGAAAATGCAACAAAATAACTGGCCAGAAACTGTCCTCAAGATGAACCCCAGGAGGAGGGGTAGACCCATGGGCCCTATACCCTTCTTCATTAAGAGTCAAGTCTGGGGTGTCTGAGCTCCTGCAAGGCCAGTAACAGCACATGAAAGATTGGTTTCTTTCCGAGGTCATCGCTGAAATGTCGGAGGGGTTCTCAACCCAAAGGATGGTTGGAGAAAGTGCCCGGACCATGCTTAGTGGAAAGTGAAAGAACCTTGGCGAAGAGCAAAGCCCAAGGATTTCCCAGTGAGAACAGAAACTCAGCTGTGAAAGCCACAAAGAGGAAGAAGCCAACAGCACCAATGTCACAACAGCGTGTGGCTCTGTCCTCACTGCGGGTAGTGGGGATAGCTCCTAACTACTGGGCAGGGCTGACTGCAGCTTGGGGTGGGTCATCTTAGCAACCAGGAGAAGAACCAGAAAAGGGGCCAGGAGGGATGATGTGATAGACAGATGAGCTTGTCCCAGGGCAACATTAGGGTCAGCAGCCCTACTGGGACTACTTTCTGAGAGTCCACCCAGGGGGCAGCAACTGGAAACGAGCGGACGGGCTCTAGGCCACCTCAGCTAGAATAGCTGTACGGCAGGACCTGCTGAGGGATAGAGAGCTGCCTGGCAGCCAAGACCTCCCCTGACTTTCCCAGCACTGAGAGTTCCTCTTTGGTGACTGGCACAGTGGGCAGGACAGAGGACTCCATAAAGTAGCAGAGGTGGCATACAGACAGGTGCTTGTCTGCGGCACCAGTCACCTCCCCTACTCCCGGTCCCACCTCTTGGTGTATGGACTTCACGGAAGTACTCCAAGCACATCCAGGTCAGCTCCACACAGGTTTGGGCCAGCGACATCAGCTTCAAGGTCCTACACAAAGCCTTCCTCTGGAAAGTCTCATCCAGTGTGACCACAATCACTGTCTTGCTCTCCTGGGTCATAGCCTCACAGAACTCCAGGATGTCAAGGAGAAACTGTCATGTATCAATGACAGCAGCATCCAGGGTTTCCTGGACCACGTTCTGGGGCAGGCAGGCTGACAGTGCTGCTGTAATGCATATCTTTGGTGTACTTGATGACCAGGCTCTTGTTCTAGGTCGTTCAAAAGCACTAGACTTGTTTCATCAGATTGGTGTTTTTATTTTATTTTATTTTTGAGACAGTGGGTCCAGCATTCACCTGGATCAGCTCCTACGATCCTTTTGGGGGAGCCAGGCAATGTGGTGGGTAGGTTGGTATAATAGCTCATTTATAGCTGCTTTATATTGGAAGTAGCTCTAGGGACTCTTGGGTCCCTGGTGGTTAATCTTGACTGTCAACTTGATGGGATTTAGTATCCCCATGGAAGCAAATCTCTGAGCATGTCTGTGAGGGAATATTTAGGCTAAATTAATCTAAGTGGGAAAATACCTCCTGAATGTAGGTGGCGGCACCATTCTGTGGGCTGGGCTCCTGGACGATACAAAAAGAAGAAATTGAACTGAACACATTCATCCTTCTCTCGTTCCTGGATATGCTCGTAATGTGGCCAGTCACCTCCTACTCCTGCCACCACAGTGTCCCCTGCCATGTACACTTGTCCCTGGGAACTGGATACCAGGATAATCTTTAAGCTGTCTTTGCCAGATATTTTGTTTCAGTAATGAGACAAGTAACTAAGAAAGACATGAAGGGCAAGGCATCAACTTTTACAGTGTGTGTCACGGAGTTGGGTGGGGCCCTAAAAAGCCAATTAAATACAGACACATGGAAAACAAATCTGTCTCCCCAGGAGCTAATCTATAATGTAGAGAGAGTAATTTTGATTGACTTCTTGTTTGCGTAGGTAATATTATATCCTTCTGGAGTCTTTGATGGAGTTGAAGAATGGATAGATAGTTATAGTTTTACTTAGTTATGATAAAAGATAAAATAGATATAAATATTGTAACTGTAATTCTTGCTTGATAACTGTTTTGTTATATGTAATTTTACTATGTTAAATTGAAAGCCTTTCTTTTTTTTAAACAGAAAAAGGGGAAATGATGTAGGTGGGTCATCTGCCTATTTGTTGCTTTCATTGGTTAATTAATAAAGAAATTGCTTGGCCTTTGATAGGACAGCAGCTTAGATAGGCGGAGTAGACAAAATAGAATGCTGGGAAGAAGGGAAGTGAGGCAGTCACCATAGCTCTTTTCTCTGAGATGGAAGCAGGTTAGAATCCTTCCTGGTAAGCCACGACCTCGTGGTGCTACACAGATTATTAGAAATGGGTTAATCAAGATGTGAGAGCTAACCAGTTAGAGGCTAGAGCTAATGGGCCAAGCAGTGTTTAAAAGAATACAATTTGTGTGTTGTTATTTCGGGTTTAAAGCTAGCCGTGCGGGAGCCAGGCTGCAGCTTGCCACACTCCACACTACACCCTTCCTTTAGCCTCACCATGAATGGCAGGAACTGAAGAGCAATTAGAGAGCCAGCTGGCTTCATGTCCCGGGGAAGGTGGTCCCAGGAAGCACCAGAAGTAGGCCACACCTCACAGGAGGCCCCCTACCTGTGACTGGTGGTGGTGGTTATGGGTGACAGTGAGGAGACATCTGAGGTGGGACTTGAGCCCACGACTCACAGCGAAACACCTAAGTGGTGACCAGCTACCTCCTCTTGTGGACAGTGCTCAGGCCGTTTCCATTTGCTGGTCTGCTCATCTTCCTCTGCTATCCCTGGATGCTTTGGACAGTGCTGTGTGTGCAGGTATCTCCCAAGCCTTGAGTGCTCTGCCCTTTGGAATCCTTTGCTCTGGATTTCCATTTGCGTGTGTGTGTGTGTGTGTGTGTGTGTGTGTGTGCATGTGACACAATGTTCATGTGGCGGTCAAAGGACAGCTTGCACAATTCAGTTCTCTCCTTCCATCATGAGAGTCTCAGGGATTGAACTCTGGTTGTCAGGCTGGGCAGCAAGAGCAGCCTTTACTGACTGAGCCATTTTGCCTGGCCTCTTCCAGGTCTCCCATGGTTTGATTTCCTCCAGCGTATCTCCATTTCTTGAACACCCTGCTCATTCATGCTAGCATCTCACAGACATTCTAACTCTTTCCCGCATCTGGGTCTTTTTGCATGCCCCTCCCTCCGCATGGCACACTCCTCCCCACCCTATCTGCCTGGCAGATCGTCTTCTCTCAGTCTTGGTGTTCACTCTTGTGGAGGTCTCTTCCTCTCCTCACTTTCATCCCATCGCACTGGTCACCTTTCCTTTGATGTGGGAGTGTCATATCAATCTGTTGATTTCATTGGTTAAGTAATAAACAAACTGCTTGGGCTCATAGCTTAGAACATATGTGGGTGGAGTAAACAGAACAGAATGCTGGGAGGAAGAGGAAGTGAGCTCAGACTCGACAGCTCTCCTCTCGAGGGCAGATGCCTCAGACAGAGACGCCATGCTCCGCTCTCCCAGGCAGACACGGGATGAAGCTCCAACCCAGGATGGACGTAGGCTAGAATCTTCCCGGTAAGCGCACCTTGGGGTGCTACATACCTTATTAGAAATGGGCTAGTCCAGGTGCGAGAGTTAGCCTAGAAGAGGCTAGATAGAAATGGGCCAAGCAGTGTTTAAATGAATACAGTTTGTGTGTTGTTATTTTGGGGCATAAGCTAGCCAGGCAGCCGGGGTACTGGGGATGCAGCCCCGCCGCTCTTATCACTATATTCCTTGGCATCCCCAAGGTACTTTCTGCACCTGTGCCTGTTTCTCTAGTCATCAGAAAATGGCTCCACATTTCTTCCCTTCCCTTTCCCATTGAGAAGAACAGAAACCCTCTCTCCTCATGCTTGACATGTAGAATGTTGTAGAATATTCTGAGGCTGGTTTGGAAGAAGCCCTTGTGTATTTTTTCCTGAGACCTGGAGTGGTCACTCCTGGACACAGCAAGACACCCTAGTCACATAAAGATGCTACTGTGAATGATGCTGTTGACAGTCCTAGAGCACCTGGAAAACATCAGCTTCCAGCTGTGTAAGACCACCATCTTGGGTATCGGCAAGTGGCACCTTCACAGGACTCCAGCCCTTGCTCCTGTACGGTTGATTGCAGTCTCACAAGAGTCCCTAAGCAAGGGCTGCTGGTGGGGCCCACTAAACCCACAGAACTGGGGGAAGTAATGCAAATAGTTTTAGACCATTCCTTTTCTGAGTGATTGGTTTTGGGTACAGTGGGGGATGGAAGCAATCAACCTCATCAGACCAAAGCAAGGATGATGTCACTGCCACTTGAGAGTTCTCTGCCAGCCCAGGGACTGGTAAGGAGCAACTTTCATCCAGTATCCAGTTCTTGTGGGAACAAATGAAACCCATCAAAATGCACTGTTCACCCTGAGATAGAATAGATTTATTAGCAAGAGGTAATCAGGAAACATATATTTTTACAAAAATGGAAATTTTTCCCAAACAAGCTGTAAGTTGAAATATTTTAGGGCTTGAAATAGAATTCTCATACCACTAGGTATTGCTTACAGCAAAAGTTGTCTGTCTGCTGTAATGGAGCATGCCTGCCAATTCTGAGTGTTCTCTCTACTGTACAATGTAAAAAAAATCATGGTAATATTCACAGAATAAGCACTACCTCACTATATTCCTGCTAGAAGGCATTTAGACAGGACTACAGTATATGCAATAAAAACACTCGGTTATTGATTTCCTAATTCTACGTCATGGGACTAATTACCACAAAGTATACAGACTCAGGGCATCTCAACATAAGCTTGTAGTGACTGTCAGGCAGCTGAAAGAGGAGAAGTGATGTTTGTTGTGTTCCTGACTTCCAGCAGAGGCTGGGCAGAGGTCGGCCAGAGTCACCATGACTTGGTGGAGTGATTCCATTTTCCTAGAGAAGTTCCAGGGTTGTGTCCACTTCTGCTGAGCCTGCTTTTCATGCTATCTGGTGTTAATCCTAGAGCAGAGGGCAGCATGGTGCCAGAAGTGGTGGCATTTGGTGCAAGGGGCGTGGTTCTCAGTTGACAGGACTCCCTTCCAGCCAGCTTTACTGAGATTTGACAGATGGGGACTGTTGAGACCTGCGGTTTTGGCTGAAGAAGCTGCTTTGGAAAGGGGCATCACCATCAGCAGGAAGGGGTGTCAAGGACTGGACTTGCAGGTATGGCTTCCCCCTCCCACCTCCCCCTCCCCCCACCCAGTTATAACAACTACATGGAACATGCTGGAGAGGATGCCTGGGTGGCCTGAGCTAACCTGGGGGCCTGCGCTGGGAGGGACAAAGCAGGGCTGGAGTTTGAGACTTGTGTCACGTGGATTCTGTCTCTTCTTCTGATTGGAGTGAGGGCCTGGGAGAGCTGACAGGGTGTACAGCTGTTTGAAGGAACAGGCTCCGCAGGGGGCGGGGCAAAGTCTGAGACAGGGCAGAAATTCATATTCCGTTCTACAGGAATCTAAGAACAAGAAAAGATTTGTATTCTCGGAGAAGCACATAGTGAAGAAGAAATCCAGAGGAACCAAACGATTATGTACAATATCATATAGCAGGTGTCCACAAGGTAGCTGGGGCAGGTTGGGGGCAGCTTCAGGTGGGGAGTTTTGGTTCTATTCGGAGAGAAGACTCATAGAGACTTTCTTCGTCCATTACAAAAGATTGATCCAGTAAGTACTGAGTTACCTGAAATGAGAGAAAGAAACAATAGAATTACGGGATGTCCCAGCCTGCGGACACTGCGTTTCTTGCAAGAATTTTTCTTCTCTTTTGCTTTTTTTTGAGATAGGGTCTTAGTCTATAGCCAAAGACTGGTCTAGAAGTCACTATGTAGCCTAGGTTAGCCTTGAACTTGAAACCATCCTTCTGTTTTAATTTGCAAAATATGAGAACTGCAAATGTATAGCACCATGCCTGGGGGAGCCAAATGCTTTTGTAGGTTCAGGACATACACCTATGAGAAATAGTGTTTTGGTCTCCCACCCACAAGGGTCTTGCTATGTGACAAGGCTAACTCTAGCCTCAAACTCAGGATCCCCTGCCTCAGCTTCTCAAGTGCTGGCTCCATCATATTTGGCTGTGCTTTATTTTAATATAACTTTTCTATTTAAATTTTGTTTGAAGATTTACTTTGTGGGTGTTGCTGGGGTTAGAATTATGGAGTTATAGCCACAGTTCCTGTATTCTCTTAATAAACATCTTAATAGTTGTAAATCACATGTGGGAAACATTGCTCTTGACTGCTTTTCTTCTTTCTTTCTTTCTTTCTTTTTCTTTATCTGATCTCTTGAGGAAATGTTTTGGACTTGAACAAAGCAAACAACTCCCTGAAAAGGTCCATTGTTTAATCTAAGCGGCGGTGCGTGGGTGTTAACACTTCCTTCAGTGTTTCAGGTTGAAGAGTTCTCCAGAATCGTCAGGTGTACATGTTTACATCCAGCAGGGCTGTCATGGGGAAGGGTCCGCGTAGGCTCCCCATGGCTGAGTCTGACATAAATGTTAGTATGAAAAACTGAGAAATGTCGTTGTCTTTCCTCCTGACTGTCCAGTCTCCTCTTGAGTCTCAGTCCTTTGCTGAGTTCCTGCACACTCAATGAGAGGCCAGAGCTCTGACCTTACAAAAATTCTCTGGACCCAAGGTTCATGTGTTTGTCAATCTGGAGCCAAATGTGTCTTTCTCCACAGAAACCAAGAGCAAGAAGGGAAAGAAATGACACCTGTGTTCTGTGCTTGACAGTCCAGTGGTAGCTGCTGAGGGGAGATGAAGCCTGTGGCCTTGGGGAATTGACTCTGTCTCCAGGAAGGTCAGAAGCAGCTGGATGCTGATTGACAGGAACAGATGAAATTATTGCTATTTCTGATTGACAGCTCACACCCTGTACCTCTAGGAAGATGATCTCAGATGTCAGAGTCTAGGTTCACCCAGCCCTGCAGGTAAAGACATGGTGACCTATGACTGTAGGAAATGAACTAGACTTTTAGCCCTAGCCGGTAGCTCCATAGAAAGGGTTCTCTCTGGACTATATCAATGCACTCAGCTCCCAAAGCAGACTGACCAGGCCTTTCCAGGGGAGCATAAAGTTCATTTCCCTGTTTTTCTTGAGCTGGAGACTGCTGACAAATCCATCAGGCCGAGCCACTCAAGGAGTTGGAGGAGCAGTGGTGTTCATACATCTTGGACATCAGAGCTTGAGAGAAGGTTAGAGTAGCGGCAGGAGACAGAAAAGAGCCCTGATATTTTGTTGGGAACTTCTGGGACTTTCCAGGGGCCATGTTAGCAATATAGTGCTTTTTAGATATAGTGTGTGATGCACTAACAAAGATCCTCCAACACTGCTAAATTTAAGTGGATAGTTATGTCTTCTTTCTTCCTTCTTCTTCTTCTTCTTCTTCTTCTTCTTCTTCTTCTTCTTCTTCCTCTTCCTCTTCCTCCTCCTCCTCTTCCTCCTCCTCCCCTCCCTTTCCCTCCCCTCCTCTTCCCTCCCCTCCCCTCCCCCCCTCTCAATGATGTGTGGCTGGGGATATAGCTCAGTTGGTAGAGTTCTTGCCACGAAGGCAATCCTGGCTCTCAGGAGACACTTTTTAAAAAGTGCTAAATATGGTGGGAGGCAGAGGAAGGTCAAGCTCTTTGAGTTCAAGGCCAGGCTAGTGTACATATTGAGTCTACATATTGAGCTCCTGGCCAGCCAGGACTTCATAGGAGATCTTGTCTTCAATAAAAAAAAAATAAATAAAAGTAACTGACAGACTACACAGACATTTTTGGGCTGGTGTGTGTGTGTGTGTGTGCCTGCGCTCATGCGCTGGAGACTAGTGTTATCCAATATACAAGTCATATTTAAATTTCGAGTGCCTTTCAAATATTTTTATATTATTATTATTATGGGTGTATATGTGTTGTGTGTGTGGGGGCATTCATGTGCTGTGGGGTGCATGTAGAAATCAGAGGACAGTTTTGAGAGTCAGTTCTTTCTTTGTGGGTTCTGGGGATCAAACTGGGTTGTTAGGCGTGCTTAGCCACCTTGCTAGCCCCCATAGCGTTTTTAAACCTGGGGTCTAATCAACCTTCATACACTGAATTTAGATGTCATGTGTTTTAGTCTCCTTTAACCTAGAGTAATACTGTGTGTGTGCGTGTGTTTCATTTAGTTTTTCTTTTCGTTGCACTATGTGGGGTTTGAACCTCACGGTCTCAATCATGCTAAGCAAGCTTTCCATCACTGAGTGTGCTGTTGTACTGTGGTTTTTACTTCTTTGTCTATTTCCCTGCAGAGTACATGCTCATGAGGACCAAGGGCCTATCTATTTTGTACACTGTGCCTTGTGGCTTGAGAGAGCTGGGAGCACAGAACTCATTCAGTGAATGTGTGACTATTGGGTGGACAAAGAGCAACATACAAGTGGCCCAGGTAATTATTCACGGATCTTCTCAACGTGGCAGAACAGAACATGGCACAGAATTAACTTTTGTTGTTTTTTTGAGACAGGGTCTCTCTTTTATGTAGCTCTGGCTGTCCTGGAACTCACTATGTAGACCAGGTTGGCCTTGAACTCAGAGATTCACCTGCCTCTGCCTCCCAAGTGCTGGGATTAAAGGTGTCCATCACCATATCCAGCAACCATTTTTTTTTTTTTGAGACAAGGTTTCAGGTAGTCCAGGCTGGTCCCAAATTTGCTATGTAACTGAGAATGACCTGCAACTTCTGATTTTTCTACTTTTACCTCTCAAGCGCTGGGGTTTCAGGCCCGGACCACTATGCCTGGTTTTATGCTGGGAATTGAACCCAGGGCACCTCACATGCTAGGCAAGTACGTCAACATCTGAGTCACATCCCCAGCTCCAACACAAGCTATTTCTTTGGGCTTGATTTGTAGCAGAGAAAGACTAGAGTGAGGTAGATGTCCATCCACATAAAGGATTAGTGAGAGGAATGGGTTTCCTGCAGCTTTAAGCGGGAATGAGGCTAGTCTGTCTCCGAAAGGAGTGGCTGCAGACACCAAGGAAAACAAGGTGATGCTGAGCAGGGGATAGCAGGTGATACTGCGGTGGAGAAAAATGTGTGGTGTTTATGAACTGGCCAGATACAGACTTGAGAAGCAGGATACCCTCATCTTTGGGAGGAAAACCTGTGGTCTTTGAGGTACAGTGCTTTTCAAAACTAGCAGCATTTGCGGCTGGGCTATGGCTCGGTTTCCTGCCTACCATCTGCAAAGTGCTGGTTTGATCTCAAGCACCAAAGAACAGGAGCGTGGAGGTGCAAGCTTGTGTTCCCAGCCCCTGGAAAATGGCTGAAAGATGACAAGTTCAAGGTCGTCTTTGGCTACATAGTGAGTCTGAGACTAGCCTGGGCTATATGAGATTTTGGAAAATATCAATCATGAACCAGCAAGATGGCTCAGCTGGTAAAGCACTTGCGGCCAAGGCTGGGGATCTAAATTCAGTGCCTGGCAGGAGAAAACTGACTTCTACACGTTGTGCTCTTACTTCCTTAGGCTCTGTGGTACATGTGTATCCGAACACACACACACACACACACACACACACACACACACACACACCCTATAAAACACAAACTAAGCAAAGCCACAGCTAACCAACCAAGCATTGGGGATGTTTAGAGCCCTGTCTCTAGCCCTGTGAAAGAGCAGACATTGTTCTAGACACCCTGTGAGATGTCAAATCAGGCAAGAATCACAAGCAAGGACCAGCTTGCCTCTGGCCAGGGAAGAGGAACGGGGTGTGGTTTCTGTAAGGGTATGACATTTTATGCTGGACCATTAGGATCCTGGAAGGCATGAGAAGAGGTGTTCCAGGAAAGAGCAGAAGCCTGTGCAGACAGCAGCACTGTGAAGGAGAGGAGAGACCCCAAGTGTTGCCCTCTTACCTTTGCCTGGTGTTCGATTTTGTAGGCAGTCTGTTGAAATTGGCGAATTTCTCGGATAATATGGGAGATCTGCGGGAAGGCAGGGGTGTTTTAGAATAGTCTGCTCTCTCATGCTGCCTTGTCGATGAAAAGGGTCATCGGTAGCTATGTCTGAAGTCACACTCCCTCCTGAAAAACTCCACTGGCTTTCTTTACGCCAGCCCCCGCTTCTGAGGTGAAACCTGTCCGTTGGGATATCTGTGATAATGTGTATGTGTGCATGGTGTGTGTATGTGTGTATGTGCGTGTGTGTGCGCGTGTGCGCGTACACGCACACTGAGCACATACCCATGCTTGATGAAGAGAACTCTTTCAGGCAGGGTCAAAGGCTTCCCAACACCGCTACAACCAAACCCTAGCTGCCAGTCAAAGTGAAAGGCTTGTGGGTGTCTAATGTGTGCGTGCCTGGAGGCGAAACATAAGAACTTCCCTCCATCACCAAGATGGAGCTTCTCGTTTACGTTGGAAAGACTTGCTTTTTATTAATGTGCAAGCCCATTTTACAGAGTGGGTGCAAAGAGAGGCTCTCTGGGGGGTGAGTAAGAGAAATGGATAACCATAAGTCTTGTGCCTGCTCAGAGTGGTCTCCTTGAGTCCTCCTATCCCTATCCTATGTTCTGAATCTTTAGGAGCAGATTTGAAACTTGCTCTCTTAGGTGTTGTTACAGAATGATTTTTCTTTAGTTATGTTAAACAAGCATTTCTGCGAACGAACATTAAAGTGTGGGCTGTGAGGAAAGCTGTGGGCTCTGGGGTCAGACCCAGCATTCAGAACCAGCTCTTCTTTTAACTTGCGTGGGAGCCTTGAGCTGGTCTCTTGATTTTGCCCATCCTCCCCTGTAGGGAGGGGTGCTGGGCTAAAGTGGGAAAGGCAGGGGACACAGGGCTAATGCCATTAGTGTCAGTCATGGTTGTTACTGGAGACCTTCCACGGGATGAACCTGGAACAGGGGCAGGCAGAACAGGCTGTGCTGGGGCGGGGTCTGGGTGGTTCAGTCTGGAGTTGTGCCCCGTCTACCCAGGGAAACATACCATCCTCATCTTGGAGAAGTTGACCAGGCCGTCCTCTGTGTAATTGGGTGTCCCCTCCTCGATGAAGGCCAAGTCAGTGAGGTACATCCCCAGGTAAGGAACACAGGGTGGGTCACAACTTGGAAACAAATGGCATCCACAAAATTTTTTCACTTAAGGAAAGGAACTTTTGCTAAGAACAGAACACCCTGCATGCACATTCTGCCTGTCTAGAGGCAACGGGATTTCTAGTTACGGAGACTCATAGGGCACATCCAGACTTAGACTGCTAGCCAGGCTGGAGGGTGGGATAGTGTGGAGTTGCTTGAACCCTCACACAGGCTGGGGAAAGGGAATCTTACTTGTGTCTCCTCCTTCTGTGACCCAGAATGCCTTTCTTTGCTTCTCTGATGTCTGTGCAATGGAGCTCCCCAGCTGTTCCCAGCCTTATGCCAGGTCACTAATCCCCCCTCCCCACCGTTACTCTGTGCTCAGGAACTTCTGGGAAGGCTGGGCCACCCCCACCCAGGTTCCAGCAGTCATACAGTGTAGCCTCTCTAACACCTGTCCTCTTACCACCTAAGTTTAGGGGCCACCTTCCTGGAAGTGCCTTCTGGGGAAGGGTGGGTGATTCTTAGGGTCTATGGTTACAAGAGATGAGACCCTAGTGTGATGGACCAGGCCTCTGATGTGTGGCTCTGAGCAGGCATTTGTAACCTGTACTATAGCAGCTTTTCTGGTGCCTTGGGAGGGTGCAGGGGAATTGGGGTTGGTGATGGAGTGAGCCACCATTATCCTCCCTTCTGCATCTTTAGGGGATGCTCGAGATAGTGGTCTGTAACTTCCTCTCAGCACAGAGATACTAGAGGAACTGTTCCTCAGACTACTTGACACTCCTGCCATGCTGGAGGAAAATGCGGTATAGACCTTGAACTAGGCCTCCTGTCTCCATCCCCCTTGGCTCCCCACACCGGTGCTGGGGTTAAAGGTGTGTACTGTCACATCAGATTTTTATTGTTATTTTTGCTTTTTTGAAAGTGGGTCTCTCTACATAACCCTGGCTGATCTGACCATCACACCTGACTTTATGTGGGGTTGAGCATCAAACCCTGTGCCTCTTGAAAGTTAATGTAAGCACTCTATCAACTGAGTTATGTTCCCGGCCCAAGATACGACATTCTAAGCTGCCATCAATCAGTGGTCATCAACAGATAACTATCTAGTAAAATTGCTCTCAAACAATGGTACAGCATTAATCCAAATGGGCCTGTCAGTCACTTGGACAGGAAAATGCTTTTCAGGAAACTGTTCCAGAGACCTTTTAGAAAGTGCGAAGCCAACCTAACCGTGCAGGTCATTACACTGGTCCCTTTGGCTACCGCTCACTCTCATCTCTTGAACATGTATCTTAAGCTCTACAATGAACTCTCTATATCTTCTTCACTGCCCTGTGAACCCTGCCTGTGTCCTTTCGATGAAGACCACTAGGACCAGAAAGCTGAGGAGAGTTCAGACTAAGAGCCCAGTGACAACAGGCTGAAAAAGATTCCAGGGACAACTGAAACAGTTGAAGACCCTCACAGGGGAGCCACGGCAAGACTCTGACTGGGTCTTACTCTTTCAGTCTGCCTAGAGACTGTTGTCAATTATCTTCTGCTTTCTGGCCCTTTTCTTGTGAAACAGACTCCCCAGCATCACTGGACATGGTTTGTTCTCCATCTCCACAGGGCAGATCTGCCTTACATAAAGATCTTGGTACCCAGAAAGCCCCTAAGCCTTCTGCCCTGTGCCACAGGCAGCAGAGGGTTCTAGGGGAGGCACTTACACAGGCATACAGATGACCTGAAAGGGAAGACAGTCAGGAGAGGGACTCAGACAGAATGGGAGCCACGGAGACAGTTAGGTAGCAGTAGTGGCTGCGGTGGATGAGGAAGCCGTGTGAAGGAGGCAGATGGAGCAACGCCCAGAGGCAGACGGACAGTTGGTGAATGCACAGTGGGGCAGCTCCGGACAAGCACAGTCCACAGGGGCTCCTGAGAGCCCGGGCGGAGGAGAGACGGCCGGACAGCACAGATGGGTTCAACATCTGTCTGAGGACATAAACAAAGTGGAAATGGTCAAGGCGATGGCACACTGAGCTAGTGAAGGATGGACAAGAAGTAGGGTGGGAAGAAAACAAGAAGAGGAGGCAGGAGAGGCTGTCTGGGAAGACGAGTGAGCAGGGCATCCCAGCCAATGTCAAGGGCTGGAGGTGTTGGCTGTCCCGTGACTATGAGTGGTGACCTCCATTGCGGCTCTTATGGGCTGTGGTCAAGAGGCCCCTTATGAAAGGGAGGAGAGTATTCCTGAAAGCTACAGGGACCCAGCATCTCCAAAGTCCATTGAGAAGCCAGCCAGCCAGCAGAGAGACAGGGACAAATGGGGGTGGGGCCTAGTATGGAAGCCTGAAGAAAGCAATAAAAGCAGTTTTGTTTTTTTAGAGCCTGTATCTCATGAATGTGCGGCCAAAGTGATCTGAGTCATGGCTTTCTTGTCAGAGGTACCTGAACCTCATAAGACAGTGCCCAAGGCACACAGCAAAGTACTGGTCTTGCAAGCCAGCTCAGGCCAAGTCCCAGGTTCTAATGCCATGGTCACATGACCTTGGCATGGCCCCTAGGTCTCTGTCTTTTGTCTAGGAAGACAGGATGGAAAGAGCTGCCTTCCAGATGTCATTAGAATCCCATGGGTTGAGGCCAGAATGTACCTAGAAATCCCACAATGCATCGGCAATTGTGTTACCAACTGTCGGTAAAATGTATTTCTTTGATTCGAAGATGCAGCTGTCAATCACACACGCACTCATTTTGATGACTATTTCTCCTCGTGAACAAGAAACACAGCCACATTAAATAAACCGACTTGACATGCCAGTTATTGGGATATTAAAATGGAAAATTGTATTTAAGAAACAAGAAATCTGGCACCAACTCTGGTCAAGCACAGATCGGTGCTCTGACATTTCCCTGGTAAAGAATGGAGGGCAAGGCTGACCCGGTGCCGGGATCTGGCGAGTCTATGGGTCTCACGGGCAGGCAGAGGGGCAGGCAGACCTCCTGCTCTGACTGGATGTGGAGAGAAGACGCCTTTGTAACATGCTCTACAATTTCAGACACACAAGGAAGAAGCAGCACTTACTTTTTCAGGGCTTCTCTGAGGTTCTTAAATCTGCCCTCTGATGACACAAGCTTTTGGAGTTTGTCAATCAAAGCTTTCGTCTAGAAGGAACCAGAAGCATTTACTAACATTCAACACACATCCAGGCCCCAAGCCCCAGGCTCTGGCCCGTGATCCAACATGCTGACCTGAGGGCTCCAGGCCACGTTTGGATCTGGGGACTTTCTGTGCCTGGTAGTCTCACCCGTGATCTCCTTAGGACTCAGGCTTAATCCCTGCCCTATGTTCCCCTCTTTACACACATCTCCTAGAGGACCGAAGAGAGTAATGACCCTGGAGACTGGTGCCATCCTGAGAATGATGGTTTATGAGGACTTGGTGGATGACTTGAGGGAGCCTGCACTGAGAGCAGGGAATATCTAAGTTAGAATTTTTATATTCATAATTGCATTTTTCAGTCCTGGGAACTGAACCTGGGGATTCTGACATATGAAGCAAGTGTCCTCCACCGAGCTATATGTCAGCCTTTAGGATTTTCCCACGAGCTGGACCGAATGGATCTGATCACTTTTTCACACCTTCACTTTGATGGACCAGGAGCACCATCAATGGTCAAGAACTGAGGAAAAGGGTGGCAGAGGAGCTGATCATCCAAGAAAGGATGGAAAGGATGAAACCCTTGGCCAAGGGTATGTGAAGTGATCAGCCAGACCTGGGCTGCATGAAAGCAGGGCAGAGGATGGGCAGCTGGGTTTGTCTGGCAGGGACTGCTACATTCCCAGGGGAGTATGCTGCCCTGGGTCTGTCTCTGTGCTCCTTTCCCTGTCCAGTCTATGGGATGTCTCTTTGAGGTCCTCAGTGCCCTCATTTATAGAAGGACATGAGGAAAGTTTTTCCTTTCCAGATATGGCCTTCATAATCCAGAATGCAGGTGAGAAACCGAGCTGAGGGCAGCCAGGCATCACAAGACCGGGAGTACTCATCGTCCCTAGAGGGACACAGTCACAGCCCATGGTGTGTGCAGTCGTAGAAGATGACAGTGTAAGTGTTGATGCTGATGGATGTTCCCTGTGTACCCTCTGAGGGGGAAGAGAGGACAAAGACATAGCTATAAGGAGAGGGAACACTGGTGTTAAATTGACCCTGCTCAAAGCACAAATGCAGTCTGACCTGATGTCAGAGCCGTGCGGCAGCAGGACAGAATTCACACTGAGCTAAAGCATCTGACTCCAAGTTTCCTTTAGAATTGGCTTTCAGCACCCTAGGAAAGCCCACATTGCCAGGCCAGTCTCTACCAGGATCTTGGTGACTACCTGTACCAGTCCTTCTGAGGATGAGGATGGTACTCCCCTCCTCTCCATGCCCACTCATCTGCAGAGGAGGGACCCAAGATGGATTCAGGTCAGATGTGGGGATTTAGTACCAGATCTGGGTCCTCCTCAGCCTCTTTCACCCATTCTCAGCCTGCACAAGAGCAATGGCCTATTCCTCAGACATTCTCTAAGGGGAAGCACTATTTCAGTTATGGTGGATTTGGGGAGACAGAAGCTAAATCACGAGGTCTAGTCATATAGTTCTGGCTTCAGAGGTCCCCATACTTTTAGGTCGTGGACACATATACAGATTATTGTGTGTGTGTGTGTGTGTGTGTGTGTGTGTGTGTGTGTGTGCTTGTGTGTGTGTGTGTGTGATTTGTAGGTGTATGTAGAGGTCAGATGACATGCCTCAGGAGTCTTTCTACTCTGAGAATTGAACTCTGGGCTCTGGGGATTGAACTCAGGTTGAACTTCACCACTTTACCTACCAAACCAGCTCACTGGCCCTATGTAGGCTATTTCTGATGTATGGGGGAAAAGCACTCTAGCTCTGAGAAGGGCACAATCTGATTCCTTCCACAGCCCCGTGCCTACTGTATACACAGACTCTCTTTGGGCTGCCACACTCAATCCAGGATACAGTGAGATCAAGGAGTTTTCCCATAGTGTTTCACTTTTAAAATCAGGTCACATGCCTAGGCTGGGCCACCTAGGCTTCCACCTTCTAACGCTCCCTGCGGGGCTAGCCCCGGGTCTTGAGGTGCTCTGGCTAAATGAGGATATACTAGCAAGAAGAAAAGGGGGAAGCTTTAGATATGGCATTGGGATCCAGGATCAAGCAAAGAACCTGTGTCAGGAGCCCTGTCAAGAAGAAAGATGCTTCTGTGGCCTCCAAAGTACCTCCCTTTCCTGCTTATCTGACAGAAACCACCGAGTGATGAAGAATGTTTCCTCCCAAAGGGACAAAGACAAGTTGTGTGTCAAGAGCAGGTTTTTGTCCCTACAGATACAACTTCCTGGGGTGAAGAACCACGGGCACATCACTCCTAGCTGCTGCCACACCAGACACCTCCCCAATGGACAGAGATGGTTTGAAAGATGACGGGTAAAGGAGCTGAAATTAGAAAAGAGGAACAAAAAATTTCAAGGTACATTTGACCCTCCTGTAGTGCCGGACTCGATCTGATGCCATGATTTGTTGAATTGGGCTGACACCCCGAAGAAAGCAATGAAAACAAGACTGTGTTTCAGGGAATGTGGCCATCTTGGTGCGTCACAAGAGTCCACGGGCTGCCTGCAGAGAAGAGATAATGAAGTTGGCTTTGTCCTTCCAGAATCCATCGGTGCCAAGCACAGGGTAGATGAATAACTACTTCACAGGCTGGAAACATCTGGAGGGCTGGCCGAGTCAGCCGATTCAGTCTACCATCTAAAGTTGTTGCCAGAGGCATCTTTGACTGTTATTAGACCAGGCCTGCTGGTTCCTGGTTCTGAATGGTGCTTTAGATTGCAGACCAGGCCACATACATGGACTGCTCTTGTTTTAGACTGTTCTTGGAAGAGAATGGAAGATTTCAGAATGGCCGTGGTGTGTCCCCATCCCCCTCAACTCCCTGAGGAGAATGACACCGAAGAATGTGGCCAAGAAATAGAGCCTGTGCATTCTAGGAAGAGTCTAGTAGGGCAGGGATCTAGTCTGGAGGGTCCCTGGGAAAGCAGCCATCAGCCAACAGTGCAAGGAGGGAGGAGTAAGATAGTAAACTGGAATGGACTTCCTATAACCCTGTCTAAATCCTGGCAAGCCGTATGGACTCAGACAACAAGGGGCTTTTCCAGGTTTCTTTTTTTTCCTGCTCAACCTCTGACTTCAGTTTATGACAGTATGTGCCTGTGTGGCCGGTAGTCCCTAAAGCTCCCAGCTTCTATTCTTTTCCGGAGTTGCTAATATTAAAGACATCTCCCATGGCCCTAATCCCGGGCACCCAATGTGCCAATAAGGATGAGGCTCAGCCTCCCTGAGTGTAAGGGGGTGGTCCTAGAGACTCAACAGCTCAGCTGTCCACAGGGGCTTGAGTGTCTGGAGAGCAGAGAGGGACAGAAGAACGAGCATCCCAGAACTTTCCTGGACTGGCTATTTATCTGTGTAGGAAGATTTGCAGAGCTGATGCCTGTTAGTGGGTAAGACGACTACCTGCTCTGGCTCAGGGAAGATAACGAGAGACAGGCGAGGAAGGGAAAAATGAAGGGGATACAGAGCACAAATCTAGGGTGTTGCAGACAGGCTTCTTGGCGGTGCTGGGTCCTGCAAGACTCTCTCACTGAAAGACCATCATAGGTGCCTTTCGAGGTTTCCCTGTCTCTGGTGGGGCTTGTCTATCCTCGTACAGGCACTTAAACCAGGGTTGGGGCATTGACCAAGTTCACCCAGGAAGTGCTGAAGTGTCTCAGAGTGTGCTCTGCTAAGGAGACCTCTCCTTTTGAGCTGTCCCCCAAGGCTCTACAGTACAGAACTTCATCCCAAAGAATTTTCAGCTTATGCCTTTTCAGAGCTTTATGAGGTCACTACTCTTGTCCCAAACCAAGAAGAGTGCCGCTACCACATTCGCGGTCTTACAGCTCCCACTGTGGAGTCTTAGCTGCCCAAGGAGGCACTGAAGTCCCCCAGGTCCATTGCCACATCTGGGGGCCTGATAGCTGGTCCCCGCTGACACAATTTTCCTGGAAATCTGGGTCCTCAGCTCAGTCCTTTGCTCACACCCAGAGATTCTGGTTTCCCTGCCCCCAACCCCAGCCCAGGCCCATCTGGCAGCAGTGCCAGCTTCCTGCCCGCACCTGCTTAGAAACTTTGAGCCATGTCTTTTTGAGTCGGAAGATTGCACTGCGGTTCATGGAGGAGGTGATCTCCAGCACGGCATTGTAGTTGTGCAGGCAGCGGCATATGTCAGCCACAGCTACCCACTTCTCAATGGTGCTCACCCTTGCATTGATATCCTCGTTTCGGATAATTTCTGAAGCAATCAAGTTACTGATCTTTAAGCCAACGCAATAAGACAGGAAAAAAGTAAGAGGAATAAATATTGTAAAGATAATATTATCATTATTTACAGACACAATTTCTTGTTAAGAGTCCCCAAAACAATAAACTGGAAAACTATTAAAAACAAATGCTTAATATAAAGAGGAGACATTTTCCTATAAATTGGCAATTGTCAATTTAAAAACACAGTGAAGCTGAGTATGGTGGCATGTACCTGTAATCCCAGCACTTGGGAGGGAGAGGCAGGAGGATGCCCAAGTCTGAGGCCAGCCTGAGCTACATGTAAAACTTTATCCCAATAAAATAAAATAAAAACAAATAAGCAAAAATATAATGACAAAGATTTCAAGAAAAAGGTTACCAAAGGATGTAAAAGGCTTAAATAACAGAGAAAGAGATCATATTACCAAATAATAGTATAAGTACCATGTATTCATAACTCTGAGTTCAACGTAAACCAATTAAACACCCAGTAGAAATTGCTTTGGAACCTAATGGAGTGATTCAAAAGTTCATCTGGAAGAATAAACTGTATTACAAGCCCAGCTCTGAGGGAACTTCCCATCGTGTCCCCTTCTGGAAGAGGACACACACTTGGTCTCACATATACAGTAGGCCAGACCTTCCTGGAATCCTGCACCCTGCCAACAATCACAATCACACAAACAAATCACATGGAGTTAGAAGTGACGTGGCTAACAGGGAGGAAGCTGGGGCCTAGACATTGGGGAACTCGAACTGCAAGGAGCTGGGAAGGCAGGAAACATCCGCTTCCTTGCACATTGCCTGAATCTATAATATTTTAAAATAAAAAGTAATGAAGTATAATACTAGCTAAATACACATGTATGAAAGCATCACAACGAAACTCATTTCTTTGTATGCTAGTCAAAAATGAATTATAAAAAATCTTTTAAAGAATAAAAGACATGATGACTTGTTATTTATAGTGGCATTTCATTTGTACTTTCATAAATAAAGCTTGTCTGAAGATCAGAAAAAGTAAAACAGCCACACTGGCCAGCCTTACAGACCAGGCAGCAATGACACACGTCTTTAATCCCAGTAGCTGCAATGACAGACATTTTTAATCCCAGTAGTCACAACGACACAGATCTTTAATCTCAGTAGCCACACGAGGTTGCCATAGAAACCAGGCAGTAATGGTGCATGCCCCTAATTCCAGAACTAGAGAGGATTATTAAACGGGAGGAGATAGCTCTCACTCTCAATCTCTTTCTTAGGTTTCCTGGAGGTAGGATCGCCATTTTCAAACTGAGGTCAAAGTAAGAGCCAGTGACTGTCGGCTTTGCTTTTCTGGTCTTCAAGTTGAACCCCAATATCTGTCTCTGAGATTTTATTAATTGTGCTTCAGTTATTGAAAGAATAAAGGTGTGAAGATGCTATTACATATAAACAAGGAGAGCTGCACCACCAAGAAACCTTCCCTAAAGTACTTGCTGTGGCATGGATGCCAAGGAGGGATGTTGAATGTGAACTTTCCTACACCTGTTTATTATTTTGTGTGTATGTGTGCTTGCCAGAGGGTGGGTGACACTCCACAGTGCATGTGAGAACAACTTGAGGGAAGGGTTCTCTTCTTCCCCCATGTGGGTTCCAGGCATGAAACTTGGGTTATCAGCCTTGGCAACAGGTTTTCCCACGGATAACATTCATGTGGGTTCCAGGCATGAAACTTGGGTTATCCGCCTTGGTGACAGGTTTTCTCACTGATAACATGTTGTTGCCTGGGACGTTGAACTTTAGTATGTACTTCTGGAGAACTAACTACTGAACTTAGGGGGGATGAGAACACATAAGACAGTGTGCGTGTGATCTATCACTAATTAAACTGAAACAGTTACATCTCTCCATATAGACAATGCTGGAATAAAAAAACTTTAAAAAAAGAATGTAAAAAAAGAAAAGAACAACTTTGAAAAAAAAGAAAAAAACCAGGTCAGTGAGATCCTCTACAGGATGGAGAAACAAAACAAATACTTGATAATTTATTCTACAAAAGCACTGCTGTGCTATGTTCCAGAGACGGACAACACAAGAAAGGAAAAAACTGGGCGCCTAGCTGTTTACATGCCGTGGCTGCCTCGGGTTTGTACTGGAGGTACACAAGAAACTATGTAATTCTCATTTACCATAGCAACATATTAAACAAGGGAAGGATCACATGACCGTCTCAGTAGCTGCAGAACAACAGCGGAGAAAGTCAATGTGTGAGTTGGAGAGATGAGTCAGTAGTGAAAAGCACTTGCCACTGGCTCAAAGGACCTGGATTCAGTTCTCCACACCATGTCATGTTGCTCCCAACCACCTGTAACTATAATCTATATTAAATCTAGGGGATCTGATGCCCTCTCTGGCCTCTGTGGGCACCTTCATGCACGTGACACACATAAATATACTCAGGCATATACACAAAGGCATTAAAAAGAAATAAAAAATTAAAAAGAAAAATTATGAACTTGTGGCAAAAATTATTGGCATTCACACATATACATTAAAATAAGAGAAGATTAAAAAGGAAAAAGTCAACATTCATGGTAAAAATGATTGATATTCAAGGAATAGAAAGGAATTTTTCTAACTTTGTCTCCTCTTACATAGGGGAAGATTAAAAGCTTCTCCTGAAAACGCAAGAACAAGGCACACTGTCTCCATCTCTGTTCCACATTGTCCTGGAGAGAGCCGGGGTGACAGAGGCACCACGGTGCATATGCGGTTGGTGGGCAGCTCCTCTGGCTGTAGGCCTGTCTCACCCAAGTCTGATCCTAGTGCTGGAGACGCTAGCCAGTGCCAATCAACAAGATAAAGACATTAGAGGCAAAGGGCTAGATAGCAGAAAATTGAGCTGTGCCGGAGATTAAGAGACCCTCTGTCGCGGAGGCACACGTTCTGAATCTGAATAGGATGACGGATGTGAACAGAGATGCCAAGTGCCAAACAGTCACAGGGTAGCCTCTGTGTGGGCTCAAAGGGGGACTTTTCTGCCGTGTCACATGGGCAGCGCCAGGTAACTGCTTTCAGCCTCAGGTTCTTCCTCTATGGAGTCAATGTCGTGGGTTAAATGAGGTGGAAAGTCACTCCACAGTAGCACACGGTACCAATGAATACACACCCTGTTTCTGGCTTGTTCTTATGCCCTTCTGGGTGCACAGAGTGCCAGGTCAGAAGGCCTCTCCCTCCCTGGCACCAAAATACTGCAACTTCCTCATTTCTTCCTGGCTGACAAGGGCCCTTCTGGATGATGTTTGTCGGGGGGACCCATTTTTTTTTTTTTCTGGAGTTGATATGTGATGCTGTCTGTGGCCAGGCAGTCAGGACAAGTGACATCATGTGCTGCCACTTCTGACCATAAAAAGGCTCTTTATTTGTGTTGATTAAACTCAGAAAATGACAATGCTGTGTGCAAAAGCTATTGGGGCTGGCACAGGCTAGGAGAGGATGAGTCCCTTGGGTGCAGAGATTGGAGCACCATATGGGAAAATTGTGGGGAGAGTTTTTTTTTCAGTGCTGGAGACTCAGCTCAGGACCCTGTATGTGCTGGGTATGCACCTGAGCAATAAGCTACATCCCTCCCCCTTGATTTTTTTTTTCTTTCTGAGATAAGACATTGCTATGTAGACTTGATTGGCCTTGAACTTGTAACCCTTTTGCTGAATGTTGGGATTATAGGTGTCTACACAGGAGTATTTTTTTTTCTCTTACATAGTCATCCTCCATCATGCAGCAATGAAAAACACATGTGCTACCTTGTGCCAATCAGCAGACCTTTCCAGAACCTCAGCATCTCCGGATCTTGAATGTCAGAGAAGCCCTCATCTCCTGGGGGTGTTGTAAGCTTTAAATGAGATTGCTATGCATAGAGAGTTATGGAAAATATTAGAGGCTACTTTTATTCAAGAACTTTGCAAGGGCCCCTTGCAGCCATGACCCTTCCTAGGAAGACTCGGAAGCGTGTTTGGCTCCCAGTCCTTTGAGAAGAGATCCTGGGAACATTGTATGCCTGTGTGTATGTCCCTGTGTGAGTGTATGTGTATGCATGTGAAAGTGTGTGTGTATGATGCACCAATCTGATCTTAGTGTCCTGATCAGAGTCAGTTCAAGCCCTTTTTGTTGAACACATGGACCACTTTTCTGCTTTTGTGTTTGGTCCCCTCTTAACCACTCTCCATCAGGAAAGTCAATGGTAGAGGGAGTTCTGAGAGATGGGGACTGGATGGGCCAGATGCAGGGCCATTTCAAGCCTGCCTAGGGGCAGTCTCAAGCCCTAGGCTCAAACCTAGCCTTTTTTTTATCAGCAACTTCAGGGTCTCTAGTCTCTTCAGTGCTGAGTTGTTGTGCAATCTTACCAATCATGAAAGGCACTGTGGTGGTTAGGACATTACATCAGCATGAAGATGAAACTCTTAGCAAACACTTTGGAAAGTCAGAGAGTTTGAACACTTTGAGTAGTGTTCATATCTGAGGGAAGATGTTTGCCATTTCCAGACTCAGTTTGCTTATTTCTAAGGCTGAGATGAGGTAAGAAAATAAGAAACACAGCAAGAACACTTTTGGTCTTTTCTGTCCAACCCTTCCTTCTTTCCATCCTTTCTGTGGCTGGTCTGCCATGACCCTACTCTTAGGAGGAGCTCCTTGTGGTGATCATAGGCCTGAGGAAGCTCCTCAGGAGCCATTGCTGGCTGATGGCTCTGGAGGACTCCCAGCTACTCTTCACACGGCCCTTTTATGTTCACCCATTAGCAGCTGAAGGGACCAAGAACGAGGCGAAGCGGGCTGGCTCTGGTTACACAGCTGAAGGTGGGGTGCAGCAGAGGGTGTGGTGCCAGCCTGCCCTCCACTCAACCCCTTGGCCGTCCTGCCAATGGAAAGCCTGGCAGAAAGCCACTGTCCACGCATGTGTACTCACGTCATTGAAATGCTTGGTGGTTTTTATGATATAAGGCGTTCTTTCGTTTTTCTCTACCTTCATCCAGCCCTGTCCGAAGAACTCCCTGCAGCGAGGAAAGGGAAACCAGAGCAGATGAAATCAGCGCTGCCTTGCTCATTCAGTGTTGGGTCACTTCTTTGCTTTTCAAGGTGATCATTTATAGGTGAGCAGCCCTTGGCAGAAGCCCAGAGAGGAAGGAACCTTGAGCTCGAGCCCAGCTCTCTGTACCCTGGGTCTTGGATGCTTTACTCATCTGTGAAATGGGAGTGTAACAGTAACATTTTCCTCATGGGACCATCATGGGGCTGAAAGGGGATGAGGTATGAGATGACTGAGCATTGCTGTGAAGCGGGTAGGCACACCAGGTTTTGCAATGGTTCTTGTTTCTACATTTTAGTCAATTGGTAGTGGCTGGTCTTCAGAACAGAGGTGATAGATAGATAACCTCTGTTGACAGAGTGTGTGCTTAGCATGCACAAGGTTCCAGGTTCAATTCTCAACACTATACAAAAGCAGTGGGTCATAAGAGGATAAATGAACCAAAAACCAGTTTCAAGCAGTGTGTTCTGGCATAGGGAACCTATTGGGGAAGCCACAGACTGCCCATGCTTCTAAGTGATTAGTAGAGGTGCTTAGGTGAAGTCCCACAGGCTGGTGCAGCCATGGGGAGGTGACACCAGTGAACATCTGTCCTGGTCTTGCTTCTGGCGGGAGGTAGGAGTAACACTGCTTCCACATCCTGGGGGTTCCTAATTATCCAGGCCAACCCTGTCATTAGGTGAGGCTGTATTCATGCCTGTGGGGCTGTGAATATGACCCTGGAAAGCAAAATAAATGCACAGAATGTTCCAGTGATGTGTGGTCTTAGACATGCTGATGGCAGTGTTGGAAAATAATTATGTAATAATTATTGGAAATTCAGAGAAATGCCTTGGTTGGGAGCATGCTTAGTTTCAGCTGTAAACGTAAAAAAGAAAACTACCTTAATTTACAATGCTAAGGAGCGCCACATACATGAACAGTGTTCGCAAATAAATGCTGGTTATTAGATGAGGAGAGACAAAGCAGGGATTACCAGGGAGACTAAAGACAGGGCAGGACAGACAGTAGCAGGCCCGAGGCTTCATTTAAATCAAGAGTCATTCTGAAATTTGTTCCTACGGCTTGTACACACACACACACACACACGAAACTCACACACAAATGCGCATACACATGAACACACATAAACACACATATGCATACACATTCATGCCTGTGTGCAAATAAACATGCATTCTTTCTGCACCCCCAGAAAGAGGAATCTCCTGGAAAAGTGTGTACATGGTGGGGGGGGGGGCTGCGCTTACAGGAGACAGGTAAAGAGAGAGACAGGGGAGGAGCATTCTTTCCAAGTTTTGGAGAGTTCAAAGACAGGGATGTGCTGAGGAGGGAGAAGGAGGGAGAGGAGGCAGGCAGCCACACCCACTTACTCATAAGGAATCTTCTTGAAGACAAGGTGATCCAGCAGGGTCAGCTGCTCTGCTATCTCCAGGGCTGAGTGGTTTTCGAAGGGCTCAGCTTTCACACCCTCTGCCTGGGGAAGCAAGGTCAGAGTCAGGCCACTGGAGTGATGCTCTGGGCTTCTGACACGTTTCTGAGGATCTCCTCTCAGTTCTGGTGGGTGGATGGGGTACCAGCGAGGAAGCTGGGCCTCACTGCTTGTTGCTCCCTGTTCAGATGTGTGTTTTGTGCTGCCAGAGGACTCTCCCCATCGGTCGCCTACCCTGTAGGGAGCCACCACTACATGTGTAGGAAGGAGTCCAAAGCCTGCCCAAGTCACTCAGGTGTAAATAGGCTTCCTGGGTTGCAAACTTGGGTATCTGATCCCAGCTGTGATGGGCCTCTTCCTCTGGGTTCTTCCTGGTCCTAGGTGGGCTCAACACAATTTTTCTTTAAAACTCATCAGTAAGTGTGATTTGGGGGTTCCGGGGTGTGATTTGCTCCGGGAGCAGTGTTCCTGCCTTGTGAGTAGAAGACAGCTGTCAGCTACCATGTCCCTGACCTATGAGGTTCCCTCATGGATATGACAGGATCTGTCACCTGGGCTTCCATCTGGAGGAACCCAGAAGTTCCAGCAGCTGGCTGAGTGCCCAAGTGGCCTGTCTGCATGGTTGGAAAGGGAAGTGGGGTCCACCCACACCGAGAAAACATGCCATTCCTTGAGGCCGAGTGCTGTTATTCACCTCCCCCCATTTCTTTTGCAATCGGTGAGGTCTGTATTGCTAGGCTGGTAGCAGACACTAGAGATATGCAGAGCTATTCCTGGGCCAGAATGTAGTGAGGCTACTGTTCTCCATGAGGGATGAAAGAAGAGAGGAGCCAGGGCCCAGAGTCCTAAGCTCTTACACTGGATACTGCTAATACATTAGTCAGCCTGGAGCTGAGCTGATGACATGGAATCCACCCCGGGCAGGTCAGAGTCTGTCTTGAACATTCCAACCATCATTAATTCAGTGGCCAGCGGCTTTGGTGGGATTCACAAAGGTACTCAGGGGATCCTAGTTTAGCACTGAAAGCACAGGAGGTCACCATTCTCTTATGGTGTATGGAGTGCAACCCCTAGCTTGTGCTCTTTCATGTTGAACACAACTCATCCCTGGGGTCCTGTCATTTCAGGGCAGGTTCAGTGAGCACACTGTGACTCCTCAGGATGCGGTGGCATGGCATAGGGTTTGAATTCTTCTCTGGGGTCAGCTGGACCTGAGTGTGAACAGCTTGCATGACTACCACTTCCCGCTGAGTGAATGATTGAGATCTCTGGGCCTCAGTGGCCTCATTTGTAAAATGGGAATAATGATACAAACTTGCAGCATTACTGACAAGAGGGTCTGGAGTCTTTCAGAATCTCATTTGGTCCAGCACATAGGTGTCTATGACACCTATGAGGTATGACAGAGAGAGGGGAGGGGTAAGGGAAAGGAGGAGGCTCAGTGGATGAAGAAAAGGGAAGTGGCAGTGTTATTGGTTGGATTTCGCTCCTCAATAATGGAACAATTTCCTAGGCCCTGGGGCTTGTCTAGAATCTTCATCAGTGTAATGAATTTACAATGAGGCCAGCAGAGTGGGCCAACATGACAGATGTCCTTGTAAGATGGGACATATGGACACAGTGGACACAGACACATACACAGAAGGAAGACAACCCAGGGATACCAGAGGATATGACCCCAGGACCATGGAGACATGAACGGGGGGAGGGGTAGTATAGTCAGAAACTGAGGGAACACAAAGCTACCAGACGCTGGCAGAGGCAAGCAAGTGTCCTCCTCTAGAGCTCCTGGGGAAGCATAGCCCTGCACACATCTTCTCTAAAGACTTCCAGGCTCCAGGACAGTGGGAGGAACACACTGCTTGGTTTGTGACACTTAGCTGCAAAGCCATAGGAAATGCATGCAGGTGATGACTTGGTCAGGGAGTCACGGAGTAAAGAGGCTGGGGAGGACGTTGCCTTGGTGATCAGGTGCAATGGTCATCCTGCTCACCATCTGTGTGATCTCTTCTAGTGTGATCTGGTTGTCGCCTGGGTCCTCCTGGGTCAGAGTCCTAGGGAGAGGAAAGCATGTGAGCCCCAGAACACCTCTGACCCTCACCTGGCTGTCTTCTGCAACCTCTGACCCTTGCTTACTGCCTTTACCCCGAGGCACTACTTCTCTCTGTTTCCCTTGTCCTCGTCTGCTTTACTGACTTATTCTTGATCCTTCTGTATGGGGAAGGTCTCTTCCCCAGCCTCCAAGCTTCCTACATACTGTTATGTATGTATATGTCAGGACCCAGAGAGACATGGGCAGGGGCCTCTGAGGTCAGGCTGGGACTGTGGCAGGCACTGCTGTGTGCATATGGAATGATGGGACACGCACCGTGAAGTAGTGCCAGACTTGGCGGATCAGAGTGAACAGGAGATGTTCCTAGATGGGATGCCCCTCAAGCCTGGCTTCATCAGAAGACAGGTGACGTAGTGGAATGGAGGCCAAAGAACCCAAGATGGGATAGTGTTGAGTGAGAAGTGAAGAAGGGTGTGGTCAAGCTAACTAGAGTGAATATGGGAATGTATGAGAATATGGGTGGGTAGGACGGTAGGCCCTTTTGACAGACTAAGGGCCAGACCTGGGAAGGCATAGGGAAGCAGAGAGAAGTCTTTAGGGATTGGCTGAAGGGAGTGGAACTTTGGAGATCAGCCCTGGGAGCCAATGTCAGACTAGGAACTGGACATTCCGAGAACTGGCTCTCCTGAGGGTCCACAGCAGAAAAAGTCCTGCTAGTCACAACCCTCCCAGCCCCCAGGAGAACCTGGAGGGAGACACCAAGAGCCTGGGACTGCTTGTGTGCATGAGTATGCCTGTAGGCACTCCACTTAGCTTCTTTCTCTCGTCTTCCCTTTTTCTCCCCCCCCCCCACATGCATGCACACAGAATATGTTGTAGATGAGGGAAGGCCAATGGTATCCTAGGACTGTGGTGGAGTGATAAGGTCTCCTATCCTTGGGATAGGAGAGGGGCTGGAGACTCGGGCTAGAAGTAGAAAATGCCTCAGCTGGATTTGGGAGAAAGTCCTGAGGCAGATGCAATGGCTGGGGTGTAGAGTTGGCTTGCTGGACATGAGGAGGAGAAACCTCCCCAGCCTCTGGAGAAGCCAGTCTAGGTGGAAGGATGAGAGCAGGAGGTAGGTTACCTTCTGAGAACCTGCAGAAGCCACATGCACCACCTCGCCTGAGCCTTACTACACCCTTGAAATCAGCGTTGTTCATTCATTTTAAATAGGAGAAAGTGAGATTTGGCTAAGGGCCGTTTTCTGGTCAACAATGAATCACTGCCTGAGGTAGCTCAGATGTTGGACTGTCTGAACCCTGACCTCTGCTAGAAGAGGCAGGCTGTGGATCATGCTCAACACAGGTCTGAGGACAGACAATTTAACAGAGTTTAAGCCAACAGACATTCCTTGAATGCCTGTGAGCATCATTCAGTAGAACTCTCTGTAGTGAAGAGATGGGCTGGCCTGTGCTGTCTAAGCTAGGAGCCTCTGGCCAACTGAAGCTATGGGGACTGAAGGACACTATTTTATTGTATTAAATTTTAGTTCACTGATATTTAAAACGTTGTATGTAGCTAGTACCTATCACATTGGATAGCACATGCTGGACAGGTATTAAAAGCCATGGACATACATGGAGAAGGAGTACATGCCCCCAGCCCCAACAGGGTCTCATGTAGTCTAGGCTGGCTTACTATGTAGCCAAGGATGATTTTGAACTTCTCAGACTTCTGCCTTCCAAGTGTTGAGATTACAGCCTGAGAGATGGAATCACAGACATGCGCCACCAAACTCAGCTTATATGGTACTAGAGATTGAACCCAGGCCTATGTAAGTACTCTACCAACCGAACTGCATGACTAGCTCCATCAAGGTCTGGTGAGGGGTGGGGAGAAAAGGGGTAAGTACACAGAGCACCCATGCTTGACTCTAGAGCAAGGGACATGGCTCCCAGACATCTGGGGCTTATACCTACCCTGATAAACTCCTGGCCAGTCTGGCTACTGTGGAGGTATAGGGCAGGACGCTGTCCTAGAAGGTCATCCTAGCAGGAGGTCCTGCCAGTCTGGCTACTGTGGAGGAATAGGGCAGGACCCTGTCCTAGAAGGTCATCCTAGCAGGAGGACCATGCAGCTCTTACCTGATAATGTTGGCTGCTGCCTTTCGCTCCTGTGTCAGCAGCTCTGGATCATGCATGACCTCTTCCAGGAAGCTGATCACCTTGCTTTTGAGCTTACTGTTGCTTTCAAAGTCCTGTAGGAAGACGGGCAGGTAGCTCTGGCTACAGTCACCAGACTTTCCTGCAGTACTGAGGCCAGGCTGAAGGAGGGAGTTTCTATTTCCGCCCACTGTGGTTGCCTGCTTTTCTTGTCTTGTCACTACTTCCAGCAAGGCCACAAGTGGGGCTTCAAGCCTCCTAGGCACAGGGCACTGGGACAAGACCAAGACCACCCCCTAGCTGTTGCACCCCTAAGTTAGGGAGGCCTAAGTCTACTTGTACTCTCCTTGCAGACAGGTGGCCAAACAGGCCCCTTGTCTTCTTGACGGTCCTTGTTTCCCTTTCCCAGGGAACCTGAGCAGGTCCTCCTGGCAAAATGGGATCCCCTTCCTGCTGTTGACCTACTACATTGTCTGCTATCACTTCCAGCCACTGGGAAACAATTGTTCCTGGAGCTAGGTCCCACTCACCTGAGAGTGCTTGGAGACCCAGTGGCGGAGCACATTCAGCACACGGTTGGTGGCAGCTCTGCGGATCACAAACTCCTTGTCGCCATTTCTCTGGTCAGGGGGAAACCCTGGCAGTGCTAGAGGTAGGGGGAGAGAAGGACAGGAGGGGGAGCTTGCTTAGCAGACATGGTTTGTCAGAGAGCCTTGGAGGGGACACTTAACTGAGTTCAGACCCAAATGAGAGGCCATGAAGCCTCAGGGGATGCAGTTCTTCAGCACCCAACCTCTTTTATACCTGCTCCATTTAGAAGGTTCAGGAAGCTCCCACCAATGAAAGTATACAGGGTACCCGAGACCAGAGCTCTCCAGGAACCCCCCTTCTAACCTTTGGTGTGGAACCGTTGCTGTGGAAGTGGGTGCCGAGGGCTCTCTCGGTTGGCGTTCTTTGCTGTGAGTAGAATTTGGCCAAGGATCAAAGGGGACTGGGGAGGGAGAATGGGACTCCAGGATGACAGGCCAGCACTGGCAGGGCCTGCAGGAAGAGTGGGAGGAAGTGAGTAACAACAGGTCAAAGTGGATAGAGAAGAGGGTAAATAAATCTAGGGGCGGGATGTGTGTGTGTGTATAAGGATAACCCTTAGGCCATCCTTCTAGGGGTTGAGGTTGACAAGCAACCCAGCTAAGACTTTACTCCACTGATGATAGGACGTGGGAACAGACTGCATACTAAACACACAGTGGCCCTGGCTACAGGCCTGGGTGTGCAGAGCCTAGCTGGTGCCGAAAAAGGGGCTCCATTCCAGCCTCCACGAGAGGAAGGATCAACAGGGCAAATAACAGAAAGCAAGGCTTCATGTCCAGTGAGTCAGGATAGCTTCCTGGAGCAGGGAGCTCTCCAGAGGAACTGTAGAAGGACCCGCTGTGACATCTGCAATGCGCATCAAACACTTGAGGAAGGGAAGGTCTCATGCCTGTGGCTGTCACCCGTGCCACAGAACCATGGAGAAAGGGGGTACCCATAAGCAGAGACGTCCACACACCTGTGGTGGCCAAGGACATCCTGCGATACTGATACTTCTCCTTGGTTGGGGTGCCCTCGTTGGCTCCCGCCGTGGCTATGGCAAAGGCAGAGGAAGCTGAGAGGGCGCTGCGGTTATTGTCCAGTTCACGACATGAGGTCATCACGACTCCATTGTTGAAGTTAAAGAGTGGGAATTCTGTGGAGAGGAGGGAGCTGATCCTCAGCCATTCCTCAGTCCTTTAGGTTGGCAGACATTCACACAGCCCAACCTCAAGACTGGAAGCTCTTCCTCTTTGCCCAGGGATGGAGAGGGGCTCAGGGGGTACTGTGTGTGTGTGTGTGTGTGTGTGTGAGGCTCTGTTCCCTGTAAGAGTGATGCCACAATAGTCCTAGAGAATATTACCTCAGGGAAGGAAGGCTCAGCTAGCCTTTTGCTGCTTAGAAGGTTGGGAGCACCTTTCTATTTCTAAGACTTGTCAATTCTTGGCTTTTCTGGGCCCAAAGCATCATGAGATGTCTGCTTTCAGGGTACTGGGTCTAATGGTTACAATTTATATTGACAGGGTTATGGGCATGGTGGGACTGAGATGATCTTGCACTTGATCTTCTACCTGGGTTGAAATTCTCCCACCTCTCACTGGCTGTGCAACTATGGGAAAGTTCCTTCAACTCTGGAGCCTCAGGGATCTCCTCTGGACAGTACAGATATGTCCAAAGGTAATCATAAAAAGGAGATTGCAGAAAAAAGTTCAAAAAGCTGTATAAACATGGACACCTGCTGAAGGTAATGATAACAATGAGCTGTGCGGTCAACTCCGGAACCCTTTGGCTTCATCTTACAGGATTTTAGAGCCTGAGGGGTAACTGGCTTGCTTTAAAGACTCTAAACTAACTTCTTCCCTTTCTTTCCCTTCTTTTCCCTTCCCTTCCCTTTTCCTCCTTTCCTTCTTTGAGATGTCTCCTTCCCTTCTTTCTGAGATCAACTCTCTTTTGCCTTTATTTCTTTGCCTCTGTCTGTCTGTCTGTCTCCCTGAGATAGTATTTCTCTCTCTCTCTCTCTCTCTCTCTCTCTCTCTCTTTCTCTCTCTCTCTCTCTCTCTCTCTCTCTCTCTCTCTCTCTCTCTCTCTCTGACTGCTTCTAGGTCAAAGACAGCTCTCAGTAAGCTGCCCAGGCTGTATTGAACTTTCTCTAGGCCAGGCTGCTTTGGCACTCCCAATTTCCCTGCCTCAGTCTCTCAATTGTCTCAGGTGCTGGGATTACAGGCATCACTTCCCCCCTGGGCCTCAATGCCTGTTTCTAAAAATGGGTTCTCCCAGGATCTACTGCTGTGTAAGAAGCCAGGCAGGGCTGCAGGGTGCTCAGGTACCTTTCCTCTAAAGCCTTGTGCCTTACTTGTTTCTTCCCAGACTTGGAAAGCAGGGGATTCTGGGATTTGAGCTGCCCCGTGTTTGGCGAGCTTGGAAATAGTAAGGTTCTTTCCTTGGGAAACAGAAAGACTGTCCTGGTAGTTGAGGAGGCCCCTGAGTTCTTTTCCACCCTTGGGTGTCCCACAGTCCTCCTGGGGGTACAATAGTCTTTATGAGGACGAGAAAGGTAGGTAGGCTGTTCAAGAATCCTGCAGAATTGTGAGTCAGAAACATGAGTGGGCAATGCCACTATTTTCTGGAGCCTTCCCTTGCCTGTGATGGTGGGGATAGAACACAGAACCATATCTATGTCAGGGAGCACTCTACTACTGAGGCACACCCCAGCTTTGCTTTCCTTATCTGAAAGATAAGAGCAATCTAGGTTCTCTTCATGTATATTGGAAGGATGAAAGAGCCCACCACACAGCCAGAAACATGGGATGCCAGGAAACATGTCCGACTTGAGCTCTCCCACATACGAGTGCTGCTGGGTCACTGCTAGGCAATGCATTCCTGCCTAAGTTGGGGTGACTTCACAAAGTCAAGATCAGGGCCTGCTCAGCCAATGTCTCAGCAACCACATCTCTCCTATCCCTGGGGGTTATGAAATAGAATAGTCACTGCCCTCAGGAGTCACTCATAAAACATAAGGCAATACCAGCGTGCCTCCCCTTGACCTGACCTGCAGCCCTCTCCTCCCCTGGACATCCAACTGCAGCTCCATGCTGAGGAGTGGTACCTGAAGAGTTTTTGCTTTTGACTGATTTTGGTGTTGATGGAGATTTCGTAGGTGACGCCTCAGCGTCGCCCTCGTCACTCTGGTTCTGGTCCACATCAGACTCTTCTTTCACGGGGACTTCTGAGCCTGGGGGAACAGAAAGACTCATGCTCTTCTCAATTATTCATCGATTGGAGAACCCACATCTATAATTCATCAAAGTAAAGCGGAGTAAATTACAAGGGCCTGGCACCCGGATGAAGACAGCTGAATAGTCTAGTTGGTGTAGGCTTATCATAACCTTCCACATGCTCATCCGCGGTGTGACTCTCCAAGACTTCTTTTTCTTTATCAGGACTTCCGAAAACGTAATGGGCACACCTAGGTTCCTGTTAGAATGCAGGCTGTGTGGCCTAATGGTAGAGCACTTGCTTAGCTTAGCATGCTTAAGGTCTTGGGTTCAATTGTCAGTGGTAGGCACCAGGGGCAGGCTGTAACACAGCTCCTCTCTACGTGGAACAAGGAAGTCTTTCTTTCCTTCATTTTTTTTTTAAAGAAAGGATCTCATGTGGCGCATGCTAGCCTTGAACTTGCTACGTAGCTAATGATGACCTTGAATTTCTGATTTTCTCTCTCTCCTTTTATTTTTGTTTTTTCGAGGCAGGGTTTCTCTGTAGCTTTGGAGCCTGTCCTGGAACTTGCTCTGTAGACCAGGCTGGCCTAGAATTCACAGAGACCCTCCTGCCTCTGCCTCCTGAGTGCTGGGATTAAAGGCGCGAGCCACCACTGCCCAGCGAACTTCTGATTCTCTTGCACCTGCCCTCTGAGTCCTGGGACTACAGGCTTGAACAACCATAGCAGATTGTATATAGTACTGGGTATTGAATCTGTGAGTCTGTGCTAGGCAGGTACCCTCTCTCTCTCTCTCTCGTTTAATTGAAAATAGATTTTTCATACAATATGTTATGATTTAGGTTCCCCCTAATTCCTCTCATATCCTCCCTACCTCCTTACTCACTCAAATCACACCCTTCCTCTCTCTCATTAGGAAACAGACATATTAACAACAACAGCAGCAGCAGCAATAATCAGAACAGGAAAAAAAAAACAGAAAAAAAGGGCCAAAGAAAAACCACAAGAAAACAAACATCTAGATTCAGAGACACATATACTAGAACACACAGAAATTCCATAAAAGCACAGAACTGAAAAACATAATATATAAACCAAGACATTATGGGATAGACATTAGGAGACAAAAGAAAACTCCAAAAATGCCACTGAGTTCATTTTGTGTTGGCCATCTACTACCGGGTGGTGAAAACTGGTTTTTCCTTTGCAAGTCATTGTTATCAATTGGAGACAGCAGCACTATCAACTGAGCTACATCTCCAGCCCCTATTATCTGCATTTCTAAGCTTCTGGTGATGCTCATGTGGCCGAGCAATGGACCACACCGAGTAGAAAGGGGTTTCTGCTTTTGGTAAGATATCTTGGGTACCCACCTGCCTGATTTGCCAAGGGCAGTCTTGTTTCCTAGCTCATCTCTTGCTTCTGGTCTGAAATAAGTATTAGTCTCCAATCATGGGAGAGTCAGGGCCTACATTCTCTCTGGACAGTGTGAGTTTTTGCTAAAAGAGGCATGTGTGTGTGAGCGCGTGCATGTTCAGGTATGTGCGTGTGTACCGGTGTGTGTAAGTCAGAAGTTGACATCTTGTGCCTTCCTTAATTGTGCTTCACTTAATCTTTTTGAGACAGGGTGTCTCACTGAACCAGTAGCTCACTAATTCAGTTAGAGTAGCTGTCAAAAGAGCCTTATGGAGCTAGCTTTCTGGCTCTGCCTGTTCAGCACTGGGATTATAGGGGTGTCCCTCTGAGCCTGGCTTTCTCATGTAGGTACTAGAGATTAATAAGTACAGGTCTTCATGCTTGTGTGGCAAGCACCTTACCAACTGAGCCATCTTCCTAGAGCCTTGACGGAGGGGACTTAACTGCTCTGGGTCTCAGTTTCCCCAACTAGAAGGTGAGCACACTTGAGCCTGTTTAAAAAACCAACTGGAAGCCAAAGGTCTCTTTAGAAAATGCACCCACCCAGCTCACAGAAGTGCATAGTTAGACAGACCAGGGATCCCTGGGTCACTCGTCAAGAACTCTGGTATGAGGTGGCTTTGTAGGACTGACTGGGGCCACATTCCTTCCATGAAGTAGCAATGGAATCTCCCTGCAGGTTTGTGCTGGGCAGAATTCTGAGCCTCACACTGTCTAAGATCTAATACATTGCACACACTGAATGGTATTTAGGTTCTCTGGCAAGCTGTTACCTTGGTTATCAACTTTTAGCTGTGTGAGCCACCACACGTTACCTATGTGTAGCATGTACTATGGGAATGTCCCTTAATGATGGAATCTTGTGTGGCTTCTCTTCTTTCTAATTACTCCTCCTTTTCAAAGGCTTGTGATCAAGTATGTGTATATACACACATGTATACACACAGACACACGTACAGACACAGGCACAAACACATAGACAGACGGACACACACACGAACACATGGCAAGACTATGCTGGTGGCTCCTAGCATATAGTCTGATCTGAGCTAACAGAATCAATGGGACCCTTCTAGAATGGCCCAGAAAGGCTGTAGATAGGAAGGCGCTGGATGCTCCAGCAGCATCGTGGGCCATTGCTACCACCTCTGTGCTCCAGATGTGCTGAGCTCTTTCCAGAGCATACAATGCCTTTCTTATTCTTCAACATTTTACATTTCATTATTTTTTTTTTCTAGAATGTCCTCTCTTTCTATTGGCGAACATAAAATCCAATGGACCCATTAGGAAGCCTTCTCCAACTCTCCTGATGGTGCCTCTAGTCTATCCTTTGCCCTCTTCTAGCACCTTTCAAATGTGCCTATTCAGTGTTCAGTCTGGTCCCAAGCTAGACTGCAAACCCTGAGGGCAGGAGTCAATGGCATGACTTGAACAGAGCAAGCAGGATGGTACTGTGGTAGGGAGAATGAAGGCACAAATCTGAGAACTCCGGCCAAGACTCATATAAAGTGTGATGATATCATGGGAGCTTCTTCTGTCCTCATCTTGGCAACCTATCTCCTCTTCATGGCTACGGGTCTGCACTGCCTGTATCCTGTACAACAGAGGCCGCCCAGTCCAGCTACAGGTCTGTACTGCTTGTATCCTGTACAACAGAGGCCGCCCAGCCCAACCAAGTCTTACTGTGATGAGTGCTAATGGGGTGGGTGGTTCTGCTCACGTATCTACTCACTCTGCTTGTTTAGGGCTGAGGACTCCTCAGGCTTCTCTGGAGTTGCAGTTGGAGCTGAAGCTGGGGTTGAGGTCTGGGTTGGGTTCCGGGTTGGGGTTGGAGCTGGGGTTGGGGTATGGGTTGGGGTTGAGGCTGGAGTTGTGGTCTGAGTTGGGGTCCAGTTTGGGGTCTGGGTTGGGGTCCGGGTAGGGGTTTGGGCTGGGGTAGGGGTTTGGATTGGGGTCCGGGTTGGGGTTGGGGCTGGGGTAGGGGTCTGGATTGGGGTCCGAGTTGGGGTTGGGGCTGGGTTTGAGGTCAGATTTGGGGTCTGGGTTGGGGTTTGGGCTGGGGTCTGAGTTGGGATACGGGTTGGGGTTGTGGTTGGGTTTGAGGTCAGGGTGGGGGTCTGGGTTGGGGTAGGGATTGGGGTGGGAGTCGTGGTCGTGGTTGTGGTTGTCGTTGTATCAGCTTCATCAGGAGTCTTGTTGGTGAAACTGCTGGTCATACAGAGCTTGCTGGTGTCCAACGTGGACTTGCTGATATCCCGTGTGGACTTGCTGATGTCCAGTGTGGACTTGCTGAAGTCCAGCGTGGACTTGCTGATATCCCGTGTGGACTTGCTAAAGTCCATCATTGACTTACTGGTGTCCAGCGTGGACTTGCTGATATCCAGCGTGGACTTGCTGAAGTCCATGGTGGACTTGCTGGTGTCCAGCGTGGACTTGCTGATATCCAGCGTGGACTTGCTGAAGTCTAGCGTGGACTTGCTAATATCCAGTGCGGACTTGCTGAAGTCCATCGTGGACTTGCTGGTGTCCAGTGTGGACTTGCTGAAGTCCATGGTGGACTTGCTGAAGTCCATTGTGGACTTGCTGAAGGGAGACATGGGTGAGTGCATGCTGGTAAAGCCGTTGGAGCTGCAGCTGAGTGCTGCCAGGTCCAGTGCCTTGCCGCCTGTGATGATGGGGATGTTGAGAGACAGCTTCCGTCGGCGGCTTGGGGATGATGTATTGATAGACAAGGGTGGTGGCGAGGAGAACTTGCGTGTGGCACGAGGTGACTTGGGGGGCTCTCCGTACAGAAGCTTGTTGTTCTGGCCACTGGCAAACAGGAGTTCCAGTGACCTGTGGGGAGGGAAGGCAAGAAGGAGAAAGAACTGTTGGTGTAGGCTTGCCCACATGGCCTGCTTCCTACAAGGCTCAGGGGGACTGACAGCAGTGTCTCCCTTATGTACATAATGATCCCTGATGCTAGGGGTAGGTCCCTGCTGTGGGAACTCCTTCAGCCAATGGCCTTTAAGATTACAGCCTACTTGGGCGTGATCTGTTATAATATAAATGCAGCCATAAAGCTCGCCCCCGCCCCCCCTCCAATTTGGTTCCTGCTCCCCGCTCATGCAGAGGACTGTGATCTGTAAGTCTATCCCTGAATAAAGAACCCTCTGTTATACTCAATTCTGATCTAGTGTGGGATTACTTTATAACATTCTTCTTCAGGTCCCTGCACAGGGTTGTGATTAAAGGGCTTGGGGACAAATGTCTATATCCACAGGGTTTGAATAGGCTGGATGAATGGTGGTGGTGGGGTACTTCGATCTGAGGTTGCTACCTTTGCCTCCTTCCTGAGGTACTAAGCCTCATCCACATGAGGTTTCTCTTACCTGCAAGTTCTGCCCTTGTCCACACAGTGGTCCTAAGGGATGCTTTGTGGCTGAGGAAGCAGAGGCTTAGGGAAAGGCAGTGACTCATCTAACGCCTCTGGCTCTAAACCCAGTGTCTACGCCATGGCACCTGAGAGGTTTTGTGTATCCACTGGGTTTCAAGAGGTTGGAAGTGCACTTAGGAATCCAAGGCCAGGCCTGCATTGAAGACCATTTCAGCAAGACTTGCGGAAAGTCTCTTGGCCTTGCTGGGCCCTACCTTATGCACTGGAGAGCTGAGCTTCAGTGAAGAAGGCACAAAAAGATGGCCTCAAAGTCAAGGTGACTAAAGGATCCTGTCCACTGAGGCTTGTACCTTGAACATACTGTAAAGGACTCCCCTTCTCTTCAAAGCATGATGGGTATACATAGAGCAGGGGTACCTTCCTGCCTATCTCTCTTCCTTCCATCCTTCCATCTTTCTGTAAAGGCCAGGCCTCTAGGGTCTTTGGACTTTGGGGAAGGGAGGGAGAGCAGAGTGATTCCTCCCTAGAGAATGGAGTCCTCCAAACAGACCTCTAACAGGTTGTATGGCTGAGGATGACCTGGTGCTTCTGCTTTTCCAACCCATAGCTTCAGAGCCTTGGGGTTATAGGCTTGTAACACCATGTCCAGTTTCCTTTGGAAAAAACAAACTTGGAAGGTACTCTCTCTGTGTTCTGGGAATGCTGTGTGCCACCACACCTTGCTTTGGGGACAGCCTCTTCTCCTGGGATCTCTTTGGCCTGGAAGATCTGTGGTTTGGGGAGGGGGTGCACTTACTACGGAATGGTGCTGATGGGATTTCTTTAAAAATATTAAGTATTTGTGTGTGTGTGTGAGAGAGAGAGAGAGAGAGAGAAAGAGAGAGAGAAAGAGAGAGAGAGCGTGTGCCTATGCGCGTGTGTATGTCTGGGGATGTTCAGGTCATAGAGTGAACGTGGAAGTCAGAGGACATCTTGCAGGAGTGAATTCCCTTCTTCCGTCATGCTATTTCCAGCTGAGCTTAGGTTGTCAGGCTTGGCAGCAGGTACCTTTACCCACTAAGTCATTTTGCCAGAACCCAGGGATTCTTGTAGATGCTGATGGCACGGGACTTGTATGCACCTGGCAGGGATGGCACTGATGGGTTTCTTGTAGATGGTGATTAGCTTGTCTAGGACCACCACAGCAGTGGTGAAGACACGGTAGGAATGCAGGAAGGTGTTGAGGAAGTCGATACTCAGGAAGCGAAGGTCCGTCAGCCGCTCTAGCAGCCGCTCCACACTGGCATACCGGATCTGCAGCACTTTGCAGGAATTCATGGTTTTGCTGAAGCGGATGTCAACATCATCACAATATAAGGAGGCATCGGACCTGTGGAGGGAGGGAGCAGGAAGAGGTGACATGTGCGCAGATGTTAACATCAGCATGATATAAGGAAGCATTGGTCCTGAAGACCAAGGGAGCAGGAAAAGATGGTGTATGTCTAAGGTTGTTTGGGCCCATGGCATCTCTTCACCAGACGAGGGCTGGGGCTACCCCAGGGCAACCCGCACCTCCCAGTCAGAAACAGTTGTACTAAATGGTCACGGGAGACTTCAGAAGGATAACACTAAGAAACAGCTGAAACTCTTTCACCCAGGTTTCTAAAACCCTTCACTATATAGCACCAATCCCCAAAAGTATAACAAGCTTTTAAAAACGTGTTTCCCAATTCCCAGCACACAAGAATTCTATTCACATAGAATATGCATATTTATGTTTACAGTGGTGTTGTTCATAATAGAGCAGATTGGAGACAACCCCAGGATGTCTACCAGCAGATGAATGGACAAATAAAATACAGTGTGATGTTACTCAGCCACGAAAAGAAATGAAATACCAACACACACACTACAACATGGATAAGCCCTGAAGACATTCCGTTAACCGAAACAGGCCACTTATGCTATCATTCCATTTATAGAAAGGCATAGTACAGACAAATCAGTAACAGGAAGCAGTCTGGTGAATGTCAGTTGCTGGGTGGGTGCATTGGGTCCCACTGTCCACACGTCTACCATCTCTTTCCTTGCTGAGTGGTGACGATAGTGTCTTAGAAGTAGGAGCCTGAGCCAGCTTTACAACATAGTGAGTACTCTTAAATCTACCGACTTGTACATTTTAAAGTAGAGAAATTTATGCTGTATGAATTATCTCAATTAAAAAAAATAAAAAATCGGGCCAGGTGAGGTGGTACACACTTTAACATCAGCACTTGGGAAGCAGTGAGGCAGATCTCTCTGAATTCAAGGGCAGTGGTCTCCATACTAAGTTTTAGACCAGTCAGGGCTACACAGTGAAAGAAAAAAGGTAATACGGGGTGTGGGAAAAGATAAAAGGGAAATTCCAGTGTTCTGAGTGAAGAGAAACCAGGAGATCAGCTGTTGTTTGGGCTGCCTGGAGGTATCTCTGGAGTTTGGAGACTAGTTTTTCTCTAGGTTTTCCACAGAAACCTGGTCTGCTCAATGAGAAGCTGGATGACATCACTGTGTCATTTCGGGACCCATGAAAGGTACACATTTCAGAGAAGGACCGTGAGGGACAAGCCTGTCCTCCAGCAGAAGGGGATGGCAGCTCTTTCTATCCTGGTCTTGAAGTCCAGTATACGGCTGTTGTGATCTCTGCTCTTCAGACTAAGGGCAAAGAGGTATCCCAGATGTAACACCCCGGGGACACTCAATCGAAGAACTCTGAAACCTTTCTAGAATGATCCCTTTCCACCAGACTCTCTATGTAGTCATAGGTAACTCCTCAGTGACAGTTGCAAATGGAGAACCAAGCAAGGACTTAAGCCCCTCGAGATAACGGATAGCTGAATGTGATGTCCCCCATATGTTTTTCCTCTTCCCTTCCCCATCTCTTCCCTTACCTTCCTAGTTTGGGACAGTGTTTCCTTGTGTAGAGTTTAAAATCCTTCTGTCTCAAGTGCTGGGGTGATGTTGTGTGCCATGCTTGGTTCCCCCCAACCCCTGACCCCTCCTTTTTATTTTTTTTTTTTTTTTACTAAATGTGAAAAGTCTGCCTTTTGGCTGCAAACTAACCAGCAGTCATTTTAAAACCTCTTGGCCTAGAAAGCCTTCAGTGCAGCTGGCCTATTGAGACCTCTCTCCTCCTAGCGCCCACAGCTACTACTGATGAACCTGGCTTTGCGAAGCCTCTCATCGCGAACTTCCAACTTACAGGCCAGTGTGAGCAGGCAGTTCAGGAGTGTGTGTTTCTTCCATCTTCCTAGCTTTTGTAGCATAGGCCATTCTACCTTGACCTCACCTTGGTTACTCCTTGAGCGTTAGTATCAGCCGCACTTTCAACCCGCTGATGGAAAAAGAAGTCTTCAGCGCCTGTCCGGCAGCCCGAGTTGGACTCACTGATGCCTTTGCCTCTGACCAAAGGTGATCACAGTATCGGTGGGAATCTGTCCCAGGCAAGACCTACCCACGGCCTTTTCTAGGACATTCCAAACTCCTCTCTGGGCTGCCAGGATGTGAGGATAAGAGTCATCACCCAGGCCACAGGGGACTAGAGGACTGAGGAAGGAGCTGTGCATGGAAACTGTATGAACCCAGCATCAATGGTGTCTTCTGGACGTGGTGGGAATCAACAGCCCCAAAGGCCGTGTACCCTGCGGTGCTAGCTGGATGCTGAACGACATCAGACTCAATTTAAGGGCAACGGGGTGGGGGAATATTGAAGCTTAAGCAATGACTCTAAAGCTGTGTTTTGTTATTCATAATCATGTTTCTTTTTTGACAACTGAAAAATCTGAGAGTGAGATGCAGTCTTCACTTGATTTTCCTTCCTTATTTTTATTGGCCTGCGTTCCCTATACACTGGAGGCCGTGTGCCTGCGTTCCCTATACACTGGAGGCCGTGTGCCTGCGTTCCCTATACACTGGGGGCCATATGCCCGTGTTCCCTATACACCGGAGGCCGTATGCCCGTGTTCCCTATACACTGGGGGCCGTATGCCTGCGTTCCCTATACACTGGAGGCCGTATGCCCGTGTTCCCTATACACTGGGGTCCATTTGCCTGTGTTCCCTATACACCGGAGGCCGTGTGCCTGCGTTCCCTATACACTGGGGTCCATATGCCTGTGTTCCCTATACACCGGAGGCCGTATGCCAGTGTTCCCTATACACCGGAGGCCGTATGCCAGTGTTCCCTATACACCGGAGGCCGTATGCCAGTGTTCCCTATACACCGGAGGCCGTATGCCAGTGTTCCCTATACACCGGAGGCCGTATGCCAGTGTTCCCTATACACTGGAGGCCGTATGCCAGTGTTCCCTATACACTGGAGGCCGTATGCCAGTGTTCCCTATACACTGGAGGCCGTATGCCAGTGTTCCCTATACACTGGAGGCCGTATGCCACTGTTCCCTATACACTGGAGGCCGTATGCCAGTGTTCCCTATACTCCGGAGGCCGTATGCCTGCGTTCCCTATACACTGGGGGCCGTATGCCCGCGTTCCCTATACACTGGGGGCCGTATGCCCGGAGGCTGTATCTTTGTAGTTGTTTTCACTTGCAACTAGTAGCTGTCTTAGACCTCTGTGTTTCTGGTGGGCTGTTACTAGAGGAGTGTATAAATAAACAAATAAATATAAGCTCCTATCGAAAGGGTAAGCTTGAAAATCTTGTCATAATGAAGTCCCAGAGCAAAAAGTACCTACAGAAAAAGGAGTTCAACCTTTGCTGACTGCTGAGGGGAGAACAGGCTTATACCAGCAATGGTTACTTACTGTGACAGCAGTGACTTAAGGGAAGAGAAATATTCAGGCCACCACAGGCTAGGGACTGGGTGGTGGCATGAGTCATGGCACTGCTAGCTTACATCTGGATGAATCCAGAAGTGGGGCCTGGTTATAACGCTCAAGCTCTTTTGCCCTCTAGGGATTCACTTCCTCTAGCTGGGTTCAGCCCTTTAAAGGTTCTGCAGTTTCTCAGAATAGTGTTACCAGTGGGGCACTAAGTATTGAAACACATGAAATAATGGGGGATACCGTATTCAAATCATAATGGCATCCTTGGGGCCAGTGTGAAGGACATAGCTTGATGCCAGCTCGGCTCTTATTTCCTAGACAACACCCATTCTTCACTTCTTAGTCTCTTCATCTGTGAACTGGAAAAAAAGGCCTTCCACAAAGCTTTCTCGAGAGTGGACTGGATGAACCAATTAAGAGGCCTAGCATGGTACATGGAACACAGGAAGCTGTAAGTAAGCCCTGGCTCTCAATTCACTGGCTGTGCAGAGGGTGTTTCCCACTCCAGGATACAGACAGAGCTCTGAGGAACTGAGCAAATGGACTCATTTTCTGGTGTGTACCATTTCTAAGGCAATTTTTTTTGGGGGGAGAGCTGGTGATTTGCTGGGCAGTATAGTACTTGCCAAGCGTGTGTGAGGCTCCAGATTCAACTCCCAAATACTTCATCTAGAAGTATGGGAGATTTGAAATATCAATAAAGAGCCTTTCCCCTAGAGTCTCCAATGAGCAGGGGTGAATCTAGAAGGTGGAGAGATGGAATAGCAGTTTCGGGTAGCGTGTCGACAAATGGCAGTCCTCAATACTGGCTATCCACTGCTCTTCTGTCTCGCTTCTCCCTGGCTGCATCAGCCTTCCCTCCCTGCTGCATGGACCAGAGGGGAAGCTGGACAAATGGGTTCAACCCATAGTATGTAGACTAAACCACAAGGCTTCCAGAGACAACAACACAAAAGAGACCATCTCAGAGAAACAGAGGGAAAGTCTTCTAACTCAGATTTGCTGTAGGACATGGATCCTTTTAGACACTTGCTGGCACCAAGTCCCCAGCTCAGCCCATTGCCTTTTTCCAGCGGATACCATTGTTACCCAAGTGCTCTATCAGAGTGCCACCAAGGGGCTGGGGCTGATACCCTTGGGGTACAACCGTACCACCTACAGAACAAAACCCAATAGCTTGCCAGATGCAATGTTGCTAACCGAGTCCCGCATCCCTCACCAGTCCCATCTTTCACCACATGGTGTAGACTGCCACGTTAGTTAATAAAGTCTGACTGTGCTATATAAAGCTCAGAGAAATGAGAAGTGAAATTAAGTATAGGAATAGCTCCTGAACGTAGCAGATACGCATATAAACTTCAGCATTTGTAGAATGAAAGCAGGAAAAGGGGCATAAGCTAGCGAGGCGGTCGGGGTGCTGGGGATGCAGCCCCGCCGCTCCTATTACAACAAACAGACCACAAGCGCGTCAAATTCATGGTATGCTTAAGATACATGAGGCGCAAGCAATGGTCAATATTCATGAAGTCTTAGGGTGGACACCTACATGCAGATGACATCACAGCTGTTGGTTAGGTTAACTGACATGCTCGGCTGTGGTTGGTTGTGAGGGCAATTGTATACCGCAAACCCAAGCACCTTCTGGAGGTTAGGCCTCCTCATCTAACTTTCACTCTGGTCTATGTAGCAGGGAAGGTTGACACGACATGGGGGAGGGGCAGGGCAGAAGAGCACTCTGTAGCTCAGCTGATGTGGGGCTGGCACGTGACCATAAGCTGCCCTAACCTCCTGCTCCTTTTCTGCACTCCTATCCATGCTTCTTAATATGTGTTTTAAATGGACTCCCCAAACCCTAGGGTGAAACATCTTAATCTGATCCCTGGCCTGTCTGCTCCAAAGCCTATGGGATAATTGGTCGAATCAGGTGCCTAGAGAACAAAGCTCACTCAGGTTATTGCCTGCATGCCAGTCTAAGTCCCACAACCCCGATGGGATTAGTCATCATTTCGCAAGTACATTGCACTGGCCTGCCTTTGTGCAAACACTCACATCGTTCCTTCTTCCCAGAATGCCTTTCGATTGAACAAACCATGACTGGCCTTCAATGTCAGCTCTGGGTTCCTTTTTCAGGGAAGCCTTTTTCAACTGTGCCAAGTGAATCAGGCCCATATCCATCCTCTGCACCCTTCCGGTACCACACAAACTGTCGGCTGGCATCCTCCTGACTCCCCATAGTGGCATTTCACTGGGTCTCCTTGGTTCACTGGACAGCTCTTCCTACTGGTCCCACTGCTCTCCCCTCTGGTCATTCAGCAATGCAGTGGTGAGGGGAATGATTGCTGACCAGTTTCAAAGAGGTTTAAGGGACCTGGTGCACCTGAAGCTGTCTCTGCTTACTCCATGGTGTAGGAGAAACTCGTGGTAATAAAACTGATGGTATAAAGGATTTACTCTAATACTTCAAAGATAAGTGTTACACTAACCAGACTTGCTAGAGATAATTCAAGTTTAGCATTGCTGGGAAAACCCTTTGGTCAATGTTTGTTCACCAGGATTGATCTGCAATTAGGCTTCATTCCCATCTCAAAGAAGATATACCCCCCAAGTTACAGCCAGGCATTAGGCTCATTCTCCCATCAAAGACCATACCTCTAAGGGGCAACTCAGGTGGGCAACACAGGTGAAAACTGTCATTATGACCCGGCACACCATAAAACATAATCCTGCCAGGTGAGCAAGACGACCCCAGTTAGCAAGTACTCAAAAAGAACACTACTGTAGCCCTTGAGAAAATATCTTTGCTGTGTAGATCTCCCACCTGCCCAAGCGGCCAGACTTGTAGTCTCCTGTCTCTGTTTAAATTGTCAAAGTGTAACCTCCAATTGGGACCTAAAAGAGACTTGAGGATAACTGTGCATTTGGAATGAATAAACTAAAGGCATACATAGGCTACTAAAAATCTGTTGGAGACTCGTTCCCTTTTGGGCATTAGCCAGAACCACATGCTATGATTAAAGGGTTTTCTTTCATTAATCTCTCAATGTGCAGAGTGACTTCTCACTGTGAAGACATGTAACATTAGCATACAGTAGGCTCATCATGTGCTTGCCTTTATCTTGGTGTCAAGTGTGAACAATGAGGGGCGGGGGTCTGGCATCTTTCAGATACTAAGTCCTGCGGTATGCACTGTCCCAAGGCACTCACTGGGTATAGCAGAGATTCATATCATATAGCAGCCATAGTCATCTAGACAGAGGCCAGTGGGCAGTGCGGTCCTGGGAGGTATCTAGTGATGTTATCAGGTTTGGAATTCACAGTTGAGATGGCAGCCAGATAGCCAAGGTGCTGCAGGGTTGGGGGAGGAGGGAGAGGGAGGAGTCCTGTCAGGTGGGAGTCACTGGAGGAAAGATGTTTTGCTCAGATTATGGAAGCTGGGTTACACGGTGGCAGTGATGGAAAACTGTGTCCAGCAGGACACTAGCTCCTTGTCCTGAGAGACTGCTCAAATAGACGCACTGGCCTGGCAGCTGCAGCCTGCCATTAGGTTTTTGTGTAGTTTTGAAATGTTTATGTATTTATTTTGTAATTAGAAGAAAAATTCTTAAGAAACGATAAGTGAAATGTTCATTCCTAATATTATATTTTAAATAGCTCAATTTAAAAAAATAACCAACATGTAAATAAAAATTTAAATTAAAAAAAAAAAAGGCAAGTTGTGCAAAGCCAACCAACCAGGGAAAAATCTACACCAAAGCAGCCATCCAAACATTCACTAAAAACATGAAACAGACATTCCAGCCGTCCATCATGAAACCCTCCAATGAGCCCCAGGGCTGACCTGCTCAGGCCTTAGCTAGCTGTCTCTGACTGGTGCTTAGCTTCTGGAGTACAGGCAGGTTAAGGGCACTTACTTGATCATCTGCGGCACCGTGACCTTGGAGTTTTCTTCAAATGCATTCATCATGAGTCCATTGCACCGGATATTATCCACACACTGGAAACAGAGGGGATCTGGGGCTCAGAACTCCATCTCTGTACTGGATCCCGGACCCACCTGGAACTCTCCCAGCCTGCACACAGGGTTGTCAGGCTTCAAGGACACTGTCCAGGCAAGGGCAAGACTAACACAGCATCATTTGAATTCTGGAAGTCAAGTGACCTTGGGGGGCTGATTTGACCTTCTTGAGTCTGTTTCCCTATCTTCCTAGATGGGTTTAACGACCCCTGCTTTACTTGGGTGTTTGCCAGGAAGATGCATCAGCTCTGGCCACTCCGCTGTATCCTTTGAGGCCAGTGTCAGGGATGAGGTTGTCCCACCATGCTCTGAGCTCTCTGGGAGGCTGCCTAGCAAGCCTCTGCAGCAGTGTGGATATACATGTGTCCTCTGTGTAAATAATCCCCTGCCCCCCGTACCAGTGCTGTGGTGCTGGAGGTGGTTTCTACATTTCCAGTCTATACATGGAGAGTGCACTTAGGAGACAGGAGGATCGCATGTTTGAGACCAGCCTGGGCTACGTAGCGAGACTCAAACAAAAACAAAACCCAACCAAATATAGAAAATTAATCTCAGAGGAGGGCTGCCCCTTTTCACCTTCCGGCTTTCTATCCTGGGCTTAACATTTCTGCTGTGGAGGGGTCCCCCCTGGACCAAGGTTTTGGGGAGCTCCAAGCGTATCCCAGAGTAGATGGCTCTGAGGTTGTGTGTGAGTGGAGGCCAGTGCTAAGGCTAATGCGAAGTGGAAGGCAGAAGACAGGGACAGTGGGCGACAGGTCTCCTAGGCTCTGTCTGTCAAAGCCAGGCCCCCAAAGGAGGACACACACAGCGGGAGGTCTCTGCCATTTGTGTTTTCAACCTGATTTCTCCACCATGCAGAGACTCTCATCCTGCCAGCAACTCCAGCTGAGGACCTCAGGAAGCTGTCAGGATGGATTTTGAAGGGAAGGTGAGTGAACCCTACTCAGGGACACCAGCAGTGTTGCTAAGGGCAAAGATCTCTGTGGATCCCTTTAGGAGAACAGCCAGCACTTTTGATTATTATGGCTCCCTGTGGACAGGAAAGGGCTGGGTTTGAACTCTCCATTTTCTCCAGGGGATGCTGGCTTTTTTTTTTTTTTGGAGGGGGGGTGAAACCCTAAAGAGTAGATTTATATACTATGTGCAATCCCATACTGCCTTGGTTCTCAGCGGATCCGAGAGGGGGCAGATTGCCTAGCCACCCGACGTCCCCTCCATCAAGCAATGTTGATACCTGCAACTTTATGGACTGCCTGGGCATTCAGTTCAATTCAGAGTTCCACAAGATGAAAGTAAATCCTTGGTATTTTACTATCATTCTTTATCTGGAATGTTCTTTCAGCTCTTTTTTATTTTTTTTTCTTCAGTGCTTGAGGTCAAACCGTGCTTTGAAGCAGGGCACAGAGGTCAGAAGGCAGGGAACTGGTGAGGGGGGCCCTCTAGGCACACTGGGTACCTTGCTCTCTCTTCCCGAGGCACAGGGAGGAAAGCCAGCCATAGCTGTCCCTTTCTGCTGCCAGCGGCTCTCCTAATACACCTGCACAGCCCTGCAGAGGGGATGGCCACAGGCAGACACCCTGGGACCTGGCTCCCATCTTTATGGGACTGCTCTTTGCCTTCTGAAGCACAAGCCAGGAGCAGCTGACAGCCCTGATACTCAACTCAACTTCCCACCTCCTGTACTTCCAGTGCCCAAAGTCACGGGCTGCTGACTTTCCAGGAGAAGCCAAGGCTTCCTGCTTAACGGTGAAATGGGGGTAGGACAACGGGAACAGCTACTGCTTGCAACAGGCAAAGGACAAAACTCCATCTTTCTCTGGCACGTGATGCTGGCTTGGACTTCAGGAGCCTGCCCTGGTTCTCTGGAATAGGTTCCTAAGTGTCTCTGGGCTGTGAAGCTCTCTCCTCAAGCTCTTCTGTATCTAACATTCTTGGATGGTACCACCAGGACATTTTGTGTGTGTGCACTGGCGATGCACCTGGAGATGAGACTGACGTGCAGACACCTTTGCCATTCACAGGTCTGGGGAGCAGGAAGTAGAATCCGGCATGCTTAAGGGATTAAAACATATTGCAAATGGCATGTATTGGCTGACTCAGTCTGGGCCGGGGCCATGGACCTGGTCTTCTCTAATAGAACAATCCTGCTATTCCCCGTCCATCTAGGTCCCCCACAAAGTCAAGCATGAAGCAACAATGTGCTCTGAGAAACAGGCAGTGCTGCTCACCTGGCTGATGTCACTGGTCCATGCTGCCTTCTCCTGCCTGGATGAGGCCACCAGGATGACTGTGAAGGGTGGGGAATCCTTTGGCTCCACCCCGATCTTAAAATCCAAGTGGTCTATGTCCGGGGCAGTTCCTTTGGCTTTTCCAGCGACAAAATATGAAGTTAACAGAGTGAGTGTGGGGGCTTGTGAGCTGGGTAAGGTTCTCTGGTCCCTGACTTAGACACAAGTAGATGGATGCCAAGCCACTGGCTGCTTCTTTTAGAGTCATAGTGTTTTATGATTTTTCTGGGTAGGTGAAAGTCACCATTTCGAACAGGGGAGAACAGAGAATCTGGCATACCCAAGTCATTTACAGGCACACAGATTCTTGATTCAGAGCCCAAGTTATGGAGTAGTACATCCTCTGCCCTCACTGTACCAATGGGTTCTGAGCCAGGACTCAGTTAAGACTCCTAGCAGAGAGGCAGCTATGCCATGGTTAGATGGGGCTGCACAACCCAGCCCTTTGGCTAACACCTGGGACAAGCAACATTGACATCTAAACTTTTATAGACTGGGCTGAACATTCAGTTTGGTTTACAGCTCCCCACTGGGAAAGTAAGTCCTAGGTATTTTATTACTGATATTTAACTCCCGTTTTCTTTTCTCTTTTTGGTGCTGGGGATCAAACACAGGGCACCACACACGCAAGGCCCTGGAACTCTGGAGAGTTTACTGGAAAGAATAAGTTCACACGGTCAAGATCTCCTCTCTGGGGACACACAATTGTGAGCTGTCTGCCCTGGTCTGAGTTGTTCTCTTGTCTTTTTGCATCTGAGTCAGGGTCTATCATCTGCTCTTTCTGCCAACCTTGATGAATGTGTGTGTGCATGTGTGTATGTGTGCATGTGTGTATGTGTGCATGTGTGCATGTGTGTATGTGTGCATGCGTGTATATGTGTGCATGTGTGTGCATGCATGTGCATGCATGTGCATGTGTTATGTGTGCATGTGTGTATATGTATGTGCGTGTGTGTGTGTGTGTGTGTGCATGCACAGAAATAAGCAGCTTGTACACTGACCTTCCTCCTCTGCGTTTTCTGGTTCCTCCATTAAGGTGCAGTCAATGAGCGATATGACTCCATTCTGAAAAAGAGCAGCAGGAGTCCATGTGCTAGAGTGGGGGTCCCAGAACATCAGGGTTGGAAGGGCATTGCTGCCAAGCATCCACACATCCACATCCATGTGTGTAGGTAGCATATGCCGAGTGGGCATTTTGCTTTTTAAGTAAAGGATGCTGGCTTCCTTTACAGATCCACAGAAGTGGCCGACATGAGATTTTTCTCAGGGAGACCACCCCTGGTAAAGGCTGGGGTCAAACTGTGGGCAGACGAGCCAGAATCTGTCCTGTCTGGCTTCCTATCATCACATCAGCATCTCTGAGTTACGCCATACCCCGAAAGCTATAAAACCTTGAAGTCCTCTGTTCTTGGGCAACCCCTCCTGCTAGCAATGGTGAAACAGGCCAACTTTATGGATCCATTATATGGATTGCTAACCCCATTATATAGATTCTTAAATGAAGTCAGAGAAGTTAAGTGGTTGGTCAAGTCACATGGTCAGCTCTTGGTGGGGTCCCGAGAAAGCCTCAGGGCTCTCGCCCCAGGCCCAGGTCAACAACTTACTTCCCGTTATCAGAAATAAAGACAGGGCACCTCTCCCTTTGACACCCGTGAGAAGGGAATCTGTGGCTGAGTGGAAGCACAACCCCCTCCCTCTTAGGCGTGGCTGGGCTGTGATCATGGCAGACTGAAAAGGATCAGATGGCCCTGAAGGTGTGCAGCATTGGGGACCACAGCCTCCGGCTTGCTCTCTGGCTCTCTCCTGGACAACCTGTCTCAAGGGAAGTGGCTGCCATGTTGTGGGGAGAGAAGAGCCGAGGCCTCTAGCCCACAGTCCCGTGAATGGACCACCTCGGTTGGGTAAGCTCCTAGAGCACTGTGGCCTGACAAACATTGCTATTGCAAACTCGAGCCCTGAGCCAAGACCACTTTGAAGTCGCTCCTGACCTCCTGACCCACAGCAACGGGCAGGCACTAAGTGTTTGTCCTACAATAACTGATGCTAATATAGACGGGGCCACATGACTGATCTTTATATAAAAATACTGGGCAGGCTGCCCACTTTTTTGTTATGAAACTCAGAATTTATTTTTAACCACCTGCCTGGATTATGGTCTCGTGTTATATTGGCTGCCACTTATGAGGAGAGCATCGGAGGGGATTCCCAGGCCCTGGGGTCTGCTTCTTGCTTCCTTCTTTAGTGGCTTTGAGAAGTTCCTAGGACTTTTGAACAGCAGCCTTGCCCTGTGATTTCACTGGGCTTACCAATCCTAAGAGCTTCCCCGCCCCAGCCCAGCTCTGACATTCCCTTATTTATTTGCAGTGCTGAGGTTGGAACCCACGGCCTTCTGCACGCTAGGTCGGAGCTCTACCACCAAGCAACACCCCAGCTGGCACTCCCTTACTGGCTTGTTTTACTTCCTTTATCTGATCTGTGAGCTGGGAAAGTGATAGTGTCTGCCTCAGAGGTATTCTAGGAACTGAATATGTGTAGAACACTTGGGGCAGGGACAGGCCACGGGAATCATTATTCGAGGCCTTGCTGCCAGTAATATGACAAGCTCATTACCATAGGATTTACAATGACTGTTTAAGTTACTGAGAATATATTGTACCAGGCACTGGGACTCCCTCAGCATTCCTGGGAGGTGTTTTCATATCCGTTATGCAGATAAGGAAACTGAGGCTCAGTGAAGTCACATGACTTGTCTGAGGTCTGCCTGGTACCCACACAGCAGTGCTCTGATCCTGTGTCCTTTTCTAGCAGCTATTCCTAAAATACATTTTATTTTAATTTGTGTGTATGTGTGTTTGCGTAACATGTATGCAGGTGTCCAAGAAGGCTAGAGGAGGAAGTCAGATCTTTTGGAGCTGGGGTTACAGGCAGTTCTGAGCTAGCTGATGTGAGCACTGAGAACCAAACTTGAGTTATCTGGAAGAGCGGCAGGGGCTCTTCACTGCTGAGTCCTCTCTCCTGCTCCCAGGCTAACCCTTTAAAACTCAAAAATAAATAAAAGAAAAAGAACCAACCTAAAATCATGAACTTCCAGCCTCAGATCAAGAAACCACTGTGGCGTCTCCAGTGCAACCTGCCCGTGCTCACCCCACAGCTGAGGGACAGGAGACCTGACCCTCCTGACCTGGACAGAGACATCTGGAGTGGAACTTGGCGCTAACAATTACCGAAAGCTTCCCTTGACACCCAGTTTGGTTGGAACTGGAGTGTTTAATATTTGTATATTAATTTCTCCATGTGCAGCCAACCCGCTAATTTGTTGACAAGTTAACATGAGCAGGGGATTCCCCTGAAGCCAGCGCTTGATCTAATAGCTCAACGGGAGGCTACGGACCAGGCCTCCAGGTCCCCAAAGGAAGGTTTCCCCGATGCTCTCACTTAATTAAGGGCACCTTCTGGCCCTTCCTTTCCAAGCTGCTGTCTGCTCACATTTGAAATCCCATCTGCTCGCACAGGATGGACAGAGTACGCAGAGAGATGGCAGCATAGAGAGACAAGGTCCTTGTAACCAGCATAGCAAATTCACAGGCACTGTCAGCTCTCTGCCAGACCCTGCATGCAGTGTTTCTGTGAGGACATTTATTTTTGTTTGACTGATGAAGTGTACACAGGACAAGGACATTTGTAGGGTCACATGTGTGACAGAGTTGGGGCCTGTTGGGGTTCAAAGCAATGGGACCAGCAGTGTTGGGGAGCAGGAGTTTTGGTTTGAGCCCCAGGCATCACAGCAGACCTGCATTTGAACCGGTCTCAAGGACATGAAGGAGGCTCGCCACAGAAGAGGGGAGCTGGCTGTGCAGTTGAGTACACAGCAGGAGCAAAGCCCTGGGGTCAGAGATGCTTCTCCCCTCTACCTACTGGGATGAGTTCAGGCCATTGAGGTTGTCCTACAAGAGGGCACATGAGGCGCCAACAGTTCAGCAGCCTCCCAGGGCCACCTGACCCGAAAAAGGCTTCCTGGGATAGAGGAGTGGGTGTCTGAGAATCTTTGCCTGGAGATGACAGAGAAGGAGGTCATGTGCTGCTCTAATTCTAGGTTGCAGGGGAACCTCCATTCTCCCCCACACCCCTATCCATATACCCCACACAGAGCCCCCTGACACACTCATACACACTTGCACAATCATATGCTCACACTTGGGTCTTGAAGGGCTCGTTGGAACTCTTGACCAGTAGCCGGAGTCTCTGGGGTCTGATGCCACCTTCCCAGTTCCCACGATTTCTCCAGTAGAAGATACCAGGGGATGTTCTGCACATTCCCACCCTTGGCTTAGCCACGGTGAGCGCGCATGTGTGTGTGTGTGTGTGCGTGTGTGTGCGTGTACAGGTGTGTGCTCACATACTCACAAAATCCCACCTAATCGCTTCAGTGGCCTCTTGTACCTTCACTCCCAGTTCTGCAGTGAGGGCGCAGCCAGTGTGCCAGAGCCCCAGGCCTGGAGCTCCTCTCCATGGCCTTACCTTGGTCAGGTGCAGTTTCCCTCCAGAGCCTCTGGTGCAGATGATGAGGTGCTTGGAGAACAGGAAGCACTGCCGCTCACCCTCTTTCTTCAGGGACAGCGATCCCAGGCGCCCCCTGGTGATCTTGCCCTTTTCTGACATGGGCACCTGGATGAGGGAACCTGTGGGAGCAGGGGTGGTGGTGAGGACGCTCTGAGCCTACCCTCAGATGACATCAATGACGCCAACCCCCTGGCCCAGCTGTGGAGATTGAGGTGCAGCCATGGGACAAAGTAGTTGAAATACCCTGGTCACTCCTCCCAGCCCAGCCTCAGAGTCAGTGGGTGGGGATAAGGAGAGCCCTATAGAGGACCCTACAACCTCCCAACCAGGGAACAGGGTCTTGGCAAGCAGAGGAGCTCTAAAAGAAAGGGAGAGCCGAGCTGAAGTCTGGAGATGGCACTGAACAACTAAGCTGAACAAATGGGGAGCTGAAGGTGGGTTCTCGTGTATTAACATGATACATTGCATAGCGCTGGCCGCAGCAGATAGCACCAATTAATCACGGCACTTAGCTTCTGAGCCCAGACTGAGCCCAGACTGAGCATGTGATCCTCAGTGTGTTGCAGTGAAAGCCATTGCTAGATTGAGTAGGCGGCTGTCTCTACTCTGGCAGTCCCATGCATCATGTGCTCTACAGGTTCCTTCCTCATTGTCTTCACTGTGTTCTCAGGGATTAGGTATTCAGGGCTCATCAGCTTGGATTGGGGGCTCAGCTCCCAGCTCTCTCTCCTCTCTGTCGCTATCTCTCTCCCCCATAGCAAATGTCATCCTAAACCGCACTGCCTAGATTATTTGGGAAAGCCTCCTTCTTTGACTCCCTTATCCGGTTCTGTGTCTACTGCATCTTGGCTGCCCATTAGTGACAGGTCTTCTCCTGCAGGTGAGGCTGGCTTCATCCTGGGGGACCTTAGAGCCCTGTGGAGACTTGGTGTGCACAGGGAAGATGTCAGAAATGGCTATGTGGCTAAAAAGTGGGAAGGGCTGGGAGGGGCTCCAGGTCCTGCTCCAGGATGGAGGAGTAAGAGCTTCTCTTGGTTGATGGAGCAGCTTCCGGGTCTGTGGGGGGACTGCCCACCCCAGGAGGGGCTTCCTTCCAGGGTTTTCTTCAAAAAGGCAGGAAGAAGCTACATGAGAACGCTTCTGGCAAAGGACATATCTAGTGCAGCTCAGGGAGACAGAGACAAAGCTGACTCTGGGCTCCAAGTGTCACAGGTGGGTCCTTGGGGACCACATGCAGGCACCGTCCTTGAAACGCAATGGATATCAGACCCTTCCCTCATTCTGAGGCCAAATTCTGAGGTACAGGCCAGTGTAAACCTCTCACAAGGTTATTTACTAGTTAGAGATTCCAGAGCTGGGTATAGGGGACGCTGGACGTCTATCCCGGGGCAGACATCCATCTGAGGCACACAAACAGTGCTGAGTTTCCCATAGAACACGAGAGCTGCAGGAGGTGACCTTCAAATGCATCACAGCTTTGACATCTCTGAGCCACCAGAAGCTCAACAGGGCCACACCTTCCAGACCCACTCTCAAGGGAAGCAGGAGCCAGAGGGGAGAAGACTCACTTCAGTGAGAACCGCTGAGTGCAGCCTCCCTCCCACTGCCTCCCAACACTTGCCATATCCAGGGCCAGTCACTATCTGTCCTCATCCTGTCTTCCACTTTCTCCCCCAAGGAACAGGTCAGTGCTTACAACCAAAAGCCAGAGGCTAATCTAGGCAGGAGACTCATATTCGTCATGAGGGAAACTGTGGAAAGCAATCATGTGTAAGTGTGTGTGTGTGTGTGTGTGTGTGTGTGTGTGTGTGTAGATAGAGTCTGCCCCCATGTAGAGCTACTGCACTCCCAGCAAACTAGAACACTTCACAGTCACAGCTGAAAGCCAGCCCTCTGGGGATGCTCCCAAGTGCTTCCAGGGACCCCGCGGTGGGCGTGCAGAGCAGGCACCCTACCTTGCCGCACGAAGGTCTGGCTGGTATCAAGGAGGATCTCACAGCCCTCGATGATCATGCGCTCGATAGCCAGGTTCTTCCGGATGTTCTCTGTCTCGCTGACTTCATCGTGCATGATCCTGGGGAGACAGAAAATAAGAGGCATGCTCTCCCGCTACCAGGGAGGGGAATGCTGTGCTCTCGCTTTGGGGTGGGACCTGCAGTTCGGAAGGTGAAGGCGATGTGTAGCTATTGAGTGCCAGCTGTATGCAGGACACTTCCCAGGCTCCATCTGGCTTAATACCCTGGCAGCCCAAGGAGCCAGGTGCTTATTTGAGAAGAACTGACATGGAAATTGGCAGCTAGGAAGCAGGCCAGTCTTCCTATCTCAGTGTTGAACATTGTAGGGTAGATAGCAGGTCCAGCCCAGGATGAGGTGTGAGCCCAGGACACCCTTGTTTGTTATTCATGTCTCATTTTACATGATTCTCATCCATAGATCAGGCAAAGTCCATTGCCTCTGTATTCTTTTCCTCAGGCTGCCCTTCTCCCCCCTCCCTGGAATTTGAACTCAGGGTCTTGAGGATGCTAGCCAAGTGTTCTACCACTAAGCTACGCCCTAGATCTTTCTCCCATATCTCTGTATGGATGCGCTTTTAATGTTGCAAGAGCCTTAGAATGGCCTGAGATTTGGGAGCTCCTGCCAGTTCTGTTGGCTGAGGGAAAGGCTGGCTTCCACCTTCTAACTTTCTGCCTTCTTGGAGGAAAAGAATTTGTTCCTTCCTGTCTTCTGCAACTTCCATAGTCTCCAGGAGATGGCGCCATTTAATTACTTTGAAAAAAATATTGCCGGCGGGGGAGGGGGAGGAGGGGGGAGGAAGGAAGGGTGTTCTTTGGCAATTTTGCCCTGGTGGGTTTCCAGGCTTCTAATGAATAGTTTTGGGAAAGGGGGAGCTCTGGAAAAATACCCCACCCACTTCAAGAAGATCACATCTTATGCCTTTCTGCTGATTCCTAAAATTCTACCGTCAGTGTCACCAAGAGGACTGGTGACCATGTATGGTTTACCCTCAGGGAAGCGGACTCTGCTTGGGTGGGCCACAAGATGAGCAAACCACTCAAGCCTCGCGCCGGCTGATACTCAGCTCCCTGTGTGCAGGATGCTGGGGAAGAGGTGGCCACCAGCATTCCAGTTTGTTTTCTTCCTGGTGGAGGACTACCATTTTAGCTCAAACTCTCCAGGACATCCAGACGGCCTCTAGTCTCTAGTAGTCTCAGCTTCCCCCTTTTCCTCTCAGAAATGCATGTCTTAGATGCCCAGTTCCTGTTTGAGAAGTGGCCAGTGGCAGAGAGAAGGTTTCTCACGGCTAGGGTGAAGCTTTGCTGGGGAATGCTTGACTCTGAAGGGCCCCAAGGGGCAACGCCACAGGGGCAGGCAGATTTGACAAGAATAGCCCAATAACTGGTCAGGACAAGTTCTGCTACAGATGGAGTTGGAGTTGCATGTGCACACATAGCTAGACGGCTCTCTGAGAAGCCTCGAGGGACTGGAACTGATGGCCTGTGTTATCAGTGGTGTTACAATGGTTGAGGATAAAACAGCAAAGGCCTGGTCCTTAGAGAGAGTGTGGCTGGGGTTGTGGTTAATCGCTGGTGTTGGCAGGAAAAGGGGGTGTATTTCCTAGCCCAGACTGGGCAGAGCTTGGCTATCTGAAGGTTTCTGTCCTGCCAGGACAACGCCATCAGGCGGGGAGGGTGAGAGAACGCTCCAATGTGCCGTTAGGGCTGGGCTCAGGTGAAGGTTCAGGAGGTAGGTGGAACGAAGAAGGGTAGGATGCATACCTAGGTCTTAGGCCAATGACCTTGGCCTCTCACGCCATTTGCAGCCCTATTTGCTCCAGGACCTGCATCTCTCAATGATGCAGAACCTCGGAGTGCATTCTAGGCTTTTTTTTTTTTTTTTCCTCCTGGGGAGCGAGGAACATGTAGGATTTGGTTCTTGAACATGAAAGATACAGAGAGAACTCTCTCTGCCTCTGGCTCTGCACCTCTGCAGTCACACCTGGATTCGGTGTCTACTCTGGTCCTCCCTCATGCCTCAGTAACTCAGCTGGGGCTCAGAAGATCAGGCTAGGCAGCATGTCCCCTGCCTATCCCTAGCCTGTCCCACTGCCTAGCTTGGAGCTAAGACCTGCCTGGCTAGCTTTTGCTGGCTTCAGGAAGCTGAGCCTCCCCACCCCTCATCCTTAGTCCCCTGTGTTAGACCACAGGGCCCATCTCATGTTGTGACCTCCACCCAGGCTCAATCCTAAGCTTTGGTGTCTTCTTGTTTGAAGTCACTCCTGTGGCAATCTCATAGCACTGGGGATGTCACTGAGCTGATGATGGCTCTTAATTCTAGACTTTAGAGCCCTTCTTTCTGGTCTCTTCCACTTGTTGTATTTAATGGTCCACATGATCCCCAGGGAAGGTCTGGACCATCTAACATACCCCATCTTGGTTAAGACCCCACAGATCTGGAATTTTTCCCATTCTCCCACCCAGTCCATCGAGAAGTCCTACTAGCTCTGCCTTTGGGCTCCAGTTCTGACCTAGATTACTTCCCACCTCCTCAGAACTTTGCAGGGTATGAAAGGGCTCCCCCTTCTCTGGCAGCTCTTGCAGAGGAAGACCCCTGCCCCCGGTCTATAGGACAGAAGGAGAGCCAGATGAGGAGTCTGGACTAGAGGACTAAAGTGTCCTGGGCACATGAAGGCTAGCCACCTGGAACCCCATCCTTGGGGAGCTCTTATCATCACAAGTTTTGCGACAGGGGGGTCATGGATTCCAGGGTAGCCTTAAAATTTTGACTTCTGGTCCTCCTGCCTCCATTTAGAAAGTGTTGGAGTTAACAGGTTAACAAGCCTGGTTTTATTTAGTACTGGACACTGATCACAAAGCTTCATGCATGCTGGGCAAGCACTCTGTCCACTAAGCTATATCTCCAACCTTGTTTTCTTTTTAAAATTTTATTTATTTATTATGTACAGTGTTTTGACTGCCTGCCACCATATGGTTGTTGGGAACTGAACTGTAAGAGCAGTTAGTGCTCTTAACTTCGGAGCCATCTCCGCAGCTGCCAGCCTTTCTTTGAAGAGAGGCAGGTTATGCCTTCCTTCAGATCCCCTCCTGAGGAAATTCGCAGCCCTGCCCTGCCCACCCTCTACCCTGTGGCTAGGTACTCACCTGGAAAGTTCCTCTAGTTTGGATTTGGCATAGTCCAGGCTGTTGCGCTCCACGTGCTCATGAGGTGTGTGGGCCAGCAGCTCGTGGAGTGTCAAGATGTATCTGGGGATCTGTGAGTGGCAGGGGACATGGAGGGACAGAACCAGAGAGGTGACGAATGGGTGGAAAGACAGAAAGGAACAGAGAGCCGAGGAAGGCCAAGGCAAAGAGGGAGAGATAGCCATGGCGGACAAGAAAGGTGGGGTAATGAGGGAGAGGGACAGAGGCAAGAAAGAGAGACAAGAATGGTCCTTTGAACCCAGTGGGCCAAGGAGGAAAGCTGGCTGCATTTCTGACATGCCTGGATATCCAGGAAGATAGGGACCCCCACGGTTCTGTCTCCGGGGACCCCCTCACCTTCCCCACTGCTGGAGTGGACAAGTACATGGGTGGTCAGCTTGTTCTCCACATGCCAGGGTTGTTGGGGACTGTGTCCTGCCAGCTGAGCCCTCAGTGCCCCCGCCCTAGCCTGCTCCCTTGAAGATCATGGCAGCCACCTGGAACATAGGGTAGGTGAGGAAGGTCTCCAGCGTGCGCTCTTCGCAGTCTGGCTTGGCCTCGTATTGCTTGAGAAGCTTGTCAAAGTCCCGGTTCTGCTTGCAGTGCGCTAGGATCTGGAGGCTGTACTGGTGGTTGCGGACGAACTCCTGGTAGATGTTGAGCATGGGCAGCAGGATGTCGAACAGGTCGGCTGCAGGGCAGGTGGGGTCAGCAGGCCAGAGGGACCCTGGGGCCAGATGTCCCCAGGCCTTTGGCCTATTGGCCTACCCAGAGAGGCTGTGAGCTGGGTTCAAATCCCCACTCCAGAGAGACCCCTCTTTGGGGATTACACTGATCTACCAACCTTATCCATGAGCAGAAGTGGGTTCAGAGATGTGAGCTGTCTTGTGACTGAAGGGGCTTAGAGAGTCAGTATAGAGTCCCATACCCTAGGGGCTGTGGCTCCCAGGGGGCCTGCTCCAACTGAAGAAAACAGTCTGGTGTAGATTACACCTTATCTCATGATGTGTCCATGTGGAGTGTGCCCAGCCCCTGCTTCAACCCAAGTGTCTCTGTAAGAGGCAGGGTGTGTGTGTGTGTGTGCGTGCGTGTGTGTGCATTCGTGTGTGTGTGTCTCTATGTGTATACACATGTGTATGAACACATGTGGTGCACCTCTGTGTGTTTGTATGTGGAAGCCAGAGCTCAACCTTTGGTGTCACTCCTTAGGACTCATTGACTTTGCTTTCTGAGATACGGTCTCTTACTGTTACCCGGGGCTGGCTCATTAGGCTAGGTTAGCCAGGAAGCTCCAGGGATCAACCGGTCTCTGCCCACCCAGCACTGAGTGGGGATATATGAGCATGCCATCAGTCCAGCTGTTAAAAAGTTTATTATTCTTTATTTTATATATGTGTTTTTTTAGGTGGCTAACTGAGGTGCCTTTTAGCAACCATGACAGACACCAGCTGCCAGATTCTCCCAGCAAGGCAGTTACTTGCTGCAGGGTCCTTGCGCTTCCCAGCACTGCTCACTCCCAGGCCCAGCCTAAAGTCTCCAGCCCCTGAGCTGCCCTCCCCTCAGCTTCTCTTCCCTATGGAACTTAGCCATTTTGGCTATGTGCTTTCTTGGGTCTCTTGGCTCCTGCTTCCTTTCTTGGCCTCCTCCTCTCTCCTCTCTTCTCTTCCTTCCTCATGCTCCCCTCCTCTCTCTCCTCTTATGGCTCGGTTCAGTCGGCTGGCTGGTTCAGTCTGGGCCCTTCCATATATCTTTGTCTGTTTTCTCCTTTCTTCCATGATAAAAACCTTCTCCCCAACCATACCTAGGAACAGCCATGTCGTCATTTTTCATTCTTATTTTGCCTATATGTAAATATACCATGTGCATGCAGTACCGGTGGTGGCCAGAAGCTTTCCTCTGGAACTGGAGTTACAGACAGTTGTTAGCCTCCATATGGATGGCTGAGAACCAGATCTGAGTCCTCTGCATGAGCAGTAAGTGCCATCCTCCAGGCCTCTGGATCCAGCTTTTTATGTAGCTTCTGGGGACTGCTCAGGCCATCATTGCTCTGAGGCAAGTGCTTTACTGACTGAGCTATTTCCCCAGTGTGACAGAGCAGGCTTTTTCACATGAAAAACATCCGAAGGGTGGAGGGGACTTGGAGAGCTAAGTCTGACCCGACAGTGGGTCTCCCCCTGTAGTGAAGGGAACACTGGTGGCCACCTTTCCTTACTAAAGTGAGAATGTGAGAAAGAGACAAAGAAGGCCAGCCTGACCCAGGTGTGGTACAATGTAAGGGTGCAGCTGTGTCTCGTTCCTGGGACCCGGCAGTAGAGCTTTCGAGGCTGTGGAGATGAAGCCAGGGCCTTTGTTCTAGTAATTCAACTTCTCGAAACCTATCCCATGGAAATGCCCCAAAAGTTTGTAACAATTTAGAACCAATAGAAGAACTAGTGGATCATGGTATGTATAGTTGGGGACACTGGAACATTATACGGCCACCAAAAATGCAGAATGAGAAAACTGGGCATGAAAAATAAAAACTTCACCTACAAAGTTAATTTAAAATGTAACAGCATTGTTTAGGGCAACTAGGGATACAATAGAGACCCTGTCTCAAAACAATAAAGAAAAAAAAACAAAAACCATCCAAACCAAAGTTTCCAGTGTAATGTAATAATCTTGTGTAAGCAAACAAATGACATGTCTGCTATCGACAGGCTTCAAACTGTTTAGCTCGCTCACTAAGTTTTTTGGCTGTATAAAGACAGGAAAATAAAACTCTCAGATGCTCAGGACCTCTGTGTAGGGAAATGTGGAAGGGAACGCAGACAGTAGTATTTGGGGTGGTTTTCTTTGGGGTACAGAATGACAGTGACCTTCTAAATGTTTCCCACTTTTCCGGAGTTTGAGACGTTTCTGAGTGTGCATGTACTTGGGTGGGCATGTTGTCTTTTGAAAGGGAAAGTGGATAGGCAAAGAGAAAAACCTCATTTTCTCCTAAGAGCACGTGGCGACCGTCTTTCTCCTCTCAGGGACTCTGGGGTCTACAGGGTGCCCCACCTTGATGATCTAGAGGTACAGAGTTGTCTCCTGAGCTGAGGATGGGGTCTTAGGGGGTGGCTACTCACCCAGCACCAGGGTGGGCCAGCTGGAGATGCGGGCCTTCAGGCCTTGGTAGAAGATCTGATGTAGGAACATGATGGTCTCACTGAAAGAAAAAGAACCAATGAACTCCTGCTTGGGTTTCCCACCTCTCTGGCGAAGACCCTGCTGAACACATTAGTGCCACACCAAACATGGGGCCCTCAGTAGGAACTTCTAGTCACCTAGTGATGGGGCATCAACCCCCACACAATCCCCTCTGCACAGAGGATGTCAGCTTACGGAAAGGCAGAGGAGACCTTGGGGGTGGGGCTCACTACATTTAGGGTTCCAGAGGCAGAGGGAGACTACCTCACTACTTCACTTGAGTCACAGAAAGCACAGGTTCTGTCTTTCCTCCTTTCTGGAATATCAGTATCTTTCTTTGGGCCATTTCCTAGGCTCTGCTTTCTACTCAGATGTGGTCTCCCCCCCCCCCATATCAATTTTTGATCTGAGGGGGTCTTGTATCCACACTACCTGAGCAGGGGAAGAGGTGGAGAGAGCAGGGAGCTGTAGATGGTGTATGTAGAGCAGGGCCCAAGGACAAAGACCCTGAGAAGATCTGAAAAGTCCTCTGGAGGGTAGAGACACTACATTTACTTACAGGGAGGGTGGGAAGGTGGAAGGAGAAAAAGAGACCCGGTGAGCCGAGGGATAGGGAAGAGAAGAGAAGGAGAAGAGAGAAAAAGGGAAAGACAAGAGAACTTAATAGTCCATGCCAAAGAGCTAAGCTGGCAACGCTGGGGTAGGCCACAGGGCTTGGAGGAGGAAAGCCAATCCTACAAAAACGAAAGCCAGCAAAACTGGGAAAAGGGGGCTGCAGAGAAAACCTTTCTGAGTGAGAATCGCATGGTTACTGACTCATCTGCCGTCTGAAAGCCTCCTTAGTGACCTGGGGGAGACTGGCTTCCATCTGATATCTAGTTGACTCTCAAACCAGGTTAAGAATTTTGATTTTCAGCATGGAAAGACCCTTGGATACCAAGAGACCAGCCTGGGGTGCATAAGAATGCACAGGAAAAAAAAGAAAGAAAGAAAATTGGTCTGTAATGGATGGCAGGGAACCTTTAAGGTTCTTGAGGAGCTTTGTGTTTGCATCCTGTTGGATGGCGCTGAGCATGCAGCCATCAGTCACAGGGAAGCCACCTCAGACATCCAGAAGACACGCTCTAGACACCTGGGCAGGTACCAGTGAGGAAAGAAAGCTCCTTAGATACAACACTGCATGGGTCAGTGCAGCAACAGACCAGGAGCATCACTAAAAGGATGGTAAAACCAGCATGAAGACATTGCAAGGGATGATCCAACTCCACACAACCAAACAAACAAGCTAATTAATCAAGTCACGAAACATTTTACCACCCTCAGTGTTTGTTAAATGTGCAGCAATGTGATGTCTGTGTGTGTATGTATGGTGTGCATTTGGTATATGCCCACCTGTGTATGCCAGAGCATGAGCCCATGTGCACGTGTGTGAAGGCCATAGGAGAATGTCCTGCTCCATCACTCTCTGCCTTGTTCTTTTGACACAGGGTCTCTCACCGAGCCTGGGGCTTGGCTGGCACCCAGCAAGACCCAGCCATCCTTTTGATTCTGCTCCCTATGGCACTGGGGTTAAAGGCATGTGCAGCCATATCAGCTTTTTATCTGAGTGCTGGGGATTTGAACTCAGGTCCTCACGCTTATGTAGCAAATATTCTTACCTGTGGAGTCATCTTTCCAGCCTAAGTATGATGCCTTAAAAATCCATATACCCTAACTGAGAATTATTTCCTTGCTGAAAGATGTTGCCTGAACCCCCAGCAAGCCAATCTTGTTGGCAGAGAGTCTTGCAGCAACACTGACCACGGCTAACGAGGTGGCTGAAGGTTGAAGAGTGGCTGTGGTCACTTCTTAAGATAAGACAACAGGGAAGTTTCCAAGATCCACTGACCCCTCCTCTTCAAGACAAGAGTTCTCAGTTTCATATTTTATGGCCAGGAGAACTCCTTCCAAACTTAGAACCTTAGACCTTGCTGCTGCCACCAGCCAGGTTTTTGTGGCATTCTCAATTCTTTGCCCCGTTAGAACAGTGATTCTCATAAAATTATTTTCATTGCTACTTCGGACCTGTAAGTTTGCTGTTGTTATGAATCATAATGTCAATATCCATAATGTAAATATTCCAAATGATCTTAGGCGATCCCTGGGAAAGGGCCATTCCACATCAAAGAAAGGAGTTGTAACCTCCCAGGTTGAGAGGATCTCAGGGTCTCCAGGAGTAAGAGCTGCTATGGTGAAGACTTCATCTTCTTTGCTTATATCCGAAGATTGCAACCCTTCAGTCTGGTTCTTTGCTGTGTCCACCACACCAGTGGCGACATTCCCTCTGTGGGAGTCTTGGGCGATTCCAAGTTACCCGTGAGAGTTGGAACCATCTCCTCCCAAGCTCCTGTTAACATCAAAATCTTGTCCCATATCTTAGGTGACCCTAGACCCAAGGATCGCCTAAGATCTTTGGAATATTTACATTATGGATATTGACATTACAGTTCATAACAGCAACAAACTTCCAGGTCTGAAGTAGCAATGATAATCCCATATCTTGGATGCTCTTCTCGCTATCTACAATCATATGTGTTTTCTAGAAGCTCTTGAATTAACATTGACCAGATTCTCCAGCAGAATCCCTATCTGTGTCAGCCTTATGAAAATCTATGATTCAGATAATCAAATCTGAGAGTTGATATTCCTCCTCAAGGCACCGGCTGCAGAGCAGACTGTCATCTTAGCAGCATGAGGTAAACATTCTCTTTGTATGTCTCCATCATAGCTCTGTAGTGACCAGGCGCACTGTCAATCACTGGCACTGTTTTGGAAGGAATCTTTGTTTTTCCTTAGCATTAGGTCTCAACAATGGACTCCCATGTTATATATAGATGTGCCTGGCTCCATCGACAGAGCACAGGTGAAGGAGTTTCAGGCTCTTGGCAATTCAGAACTCTAAATGACCCTGGCTTAGACTTCACATCTAAGCCCTTAAGAGGTCTAAACCCTTAATGAGACAGCCCATTCTCTGAAGCTCTGAAGCCAGGAACCAACTTCTCTGTAGCTGTGACAGTCTTCCATGGGGTCGCCTGTTTTGTTGGGCTCTCTGGTCCACATGGAGGATTGGGTGTGGGGTGCAGCTGTCTTTGAGGGTTATCTCTGGTCCATCTTCTGGATGACTTACTCCATTTTCCCCATCACCCGATGCGTGTCCTCGCTCTGCATATATCCCATGAGCCACTGCAAGCTTCTGCAACTTCCTCACCTTTCAACTTTGCCAGAGTTAAGGGTTGCAGCATCAGTCTGGGTTAGGTCATGGCCTCAGGCAACACCATTGCTTAGTTGGGCTTCCCTCTGGACCACTCAGAAAATGGCTCCCTGACAATTAGAGGGCTGCTAGCTTTCTTAGCATTTGTGTGTTTACTGGACCAGCACCTTCTTTCTTATAAAAAGATTTATTTTTATTATTTTAAATTAAGTGTCTGGGTGCGGGTATGTGCCCATCAGTGCAGGCACCTGAGGAGGCCAGAGGCATAGGATTCCCTGAAGCTGTAAAAGTTACAGGTAGTTGTGAGCCACCGTAGGCGGGTGCTGGGGATTAAACTTGGGTCCTTTACAAGAACTGGAGGAGTACTTAAGCACTGAGCCATCTTTCCAGGCCTGGAGTAGCTCTTTTAATTCCCCTCCAGGCCTCTCCTTTGCCTTCACAACCTGTTTATCTGTTGCAAGAAGCTTGGCTCTCAGGCCATTCAGCTCTCAGCATGCTTTTCTGGCTGAGTGATGTTTTTGCTTTTGATTCAAAATAGTATCCTTACACTGTGCTTTGCTCTCACACTAAGGGGCCACTGTAGAGTTATTGTTCCAATTTCAGTGTTTTATCTCCAGGGACGGGGAGGCCAGAGAAAGAGAGAGCAATGGCCAGATGGTGGAGCAGCCAGAACATACGTGGCATTCATTATATCAAAAGCATCACCTTAAGGTTTGTGGCACCTCAAACAGTTAAGCCATAACATCAAAGGTCACTGATCGTGGGCCATCATAACATAATAAGGTTTGAAATTACCCTAGGAATTACCAAAACATGAGAGACACAAACTGAGCCTGTGTTGTTTGATGGATATGCTCTGTGAAGGGTGGTCACAAGCCTTGCATTGTGAAAAGACACTTCTGCTCAGCACAGCGGAAGGAACCTGCTGCAGAAAATGAAGCCTCCCCCCTACAATTAGGGACTCTGAAAACTTCATGATAACCTTACAAGCCAGAAATCACCATTGTTTTTCACCCTGTAAGGAAAAAAAATAGCAATGGTTTCATCTTGACTTGATGTGTTTTAAAAAAAATTCACTGCTGGCCTGCTGGCCTGCGGAGACAGTTCGGAAGATAAGGTGTTTTCTGAATTATCATGGTGACTAGAGTTTGGATTCTTAGAACCTAAATAAGCAGGCTATGGTAGCTTACGCTTTAACCCAGCACCCCTGTGGGGAGCATACGCCTTTACCCAGTACACTTGTGGGTAGATGGGAGGTAGAGACAGGTATCCATGGTAGTAAACAACTGAGACCCTGACTCAGACATGGTGGAAGGGGAGGACAGGCAGACACCCAGCATTTTCCTCTGACTGCACACGTATGAACCCACAGTCACACATAGGCGCACACATGATTAGCACATCAGTAGAACATTTCCCAATTTGTCACATGTCTCTATTCTGGGAACTGTGATGCTCATTCACTATTTTCTCTCAGGAAGTTGAAACAATTCTCTCAAACACAGCTCTGACACGTGTGAGCCCCATCATTCACTTCAGACTTATCTCTGGTGGTGATGTGGCTTCTCATTTGACTACAGAAGGTTCTGTATTTTCTTTCTGCCTCGACCTTGGACACCAAGCCTTTCCCAACTCCTACACTGCATCCGTATTCACTTGCAGTTTATTTTATGGGAAAATAGGTAAACAGAGCTTGCTTTTATCCATCAGTCCATCCATCCATCAATCCATCCATCCATCCATCCATCCATCCATCCATCCATCCATCC